GTCCTTCTAAACGACATCATCATCATCACTTCATACTGAAGTTAGTGTTGATGTCGTCTAGGCAGACGATTAAAGCTTCACGATTAAACAACCCAGCTGAGAGAACACAATACAACCAAGACCATCCACCTGAGCTACAAATATTCTCCACCTTACTAACCATCGGTTGTCATTCATATTTTGAATAGAATTAGTTACTGTTGCATAGAATATCTCTTAACTATTCGCTGACCTTATTTTGAAACAGGTCTTATAGAAGGAGTTGATGCTATATACTAAAATCAGGACGTCTACAGATTGACAATTCCATACAAAACTAAGTGGACAACTTAGAAATAAGTGACGAAGTCAGGGTAGAATTAATCACGGACTGACATTACTTGGAGACCAGCACGGTAAAGTTGTGTGACAGACTCTATGTTGATTTTATCAACCAGTTCGCAAGTTGTATTTAAACTCTAAAATTACTGCGTATATTAAAGACTTCATCATCATTATCAACATAGGACCAGGCATTACTACTGCGTAACGGTCTGACTTCCCACCACACCTCATATCAGCACATCAAGTAAAAAGGTAGTGAGGTGAGGGATGAAGATAAGAGAATGCAGTCAAAAGAAATATAAAGTACGAAAAGAAAAGAAAGAGGAGTGACAAAATGGTGAGATTCGGTATAGCGTTTTTAAGATGAGGATAATGTGTGTGGCGATACATCTGCGCCACTGACATCAACTCTGAGCCATACCACCTAGGGTCTCCAACCACTGGTTCCTCTTGTCCCGCGAACAGACCCCAACCACCTAGTCTGCATCGTCCTACATGGCTTAAACCAACAGTCACAGACTTCATACATTGGTGCCATGTTTTAGTCTGGCCACCTCGGGCCTTTTTCCAGCCTGAACCCACCTCAGCCAACATTGTGTGACGAGGCAATCGGTGACTAGGCATACGTAGTACATGTCCCAACCATCTCAGTCGATATATTAAAGACTTGGAAGAAATGTATTCACTGAATTCAACTACATTTTTTATTCTTGCCTTGATAGTATAGATTATGATTTATTTTATACTACGAAATCCTCTCAGGCCTTCAATAGAGCAACCGAGAAGTAAGTTGCCAGTTACTTCAATACTATGGAATACCACGAACCTTTATCAATCTCATTCAACAACTATATGAAGACGCCACAGGCCAGCCAAGTAATTCACAATGGGAAGCTCAGTCATGCCTTTGAAGTAAAGACAGGGGTAAAACAAGGTTGCGTCCTACTATCACCCACGATATTCCCCATTGTGGTGGACTGGATCATACAACAAACTGTGAGGAGCGAGAAGAAGGGGATACGCTAGCTGGACAGGGGAAAAGATCCTAGAAGATTTGGATTTCGCTAACAGGCGAAAACTAACAAGTTGACAGAAGAGGCAGCGAAGATGGGACTTCAAGTGAATGTAGAGAAGGCAGAGGTGATGAAGATACCCAACCAACACCACCGCCAGCAACAACAACAGGCACCGATCACCATCAACGGAAGAAACTTAAAGGAAGTAGCCTCTTTCACCTACCCTTCTAGACAGCATCGTTTCAACTACCGGTGCCGGCGGCACAGACGAGGACGTCGAAGCAGCCACGATCGGAAAAACAAGACAGGCATTCGTAAGCCTGAAACCAGTGTGGAGATGTTCTGCATTCAGCATGTGGAACAAGATCCGGATTTTCAACACCAACGTCAAGTCAGTGCTCCAGTATGGTTCAGAGACTTGGCGCGTCACGAAAGGGATTTCCAATAAACTACAGACATTCATCAACAACTACCGCCTACGCTGGCTTGTTACTGAAGATCAGATGGCCAGAATAATAGGAATAAGCAACAAGGAACTCACTCTGGCAACGAACCAACCAAGAAGCTATCACTCAACAAATATGCAGTGGAAGGAAGTGGAGATGAATTGGACACAGACTGAGAAGAAAATTCGGGGACATAACGCGCCGGGCCAGTTGCTCCAGTGGAATCCCGATGGGAAGCGACGAGTTGGGTGTCCCAGGTGAGGGTGAAATGGAGGAGATCATGTGAGGAAGAAATGAGAGCTTGTGCGCTGTAGTGCAATGAGGTTCAAAAGATTGCAGAGAACAGAGTGTAATGGAGACGTGCTAGTGAAGCCTTATGTTCCACTCTGAACCCAAGGGACAAAAGTAATAATAGTAATAATGATGCGAAATCCTCGCGAAAAACCATCATTCAACAGTACATGTGAAGCAGTAAATAAGTTCGGAAAATCATTAGCTTACGTTTCGACAGTATTCAGCAATGATGTTGATCTTCGTAGTGTTAACAGACTTATCAAGCTCAAGATAAACTGTCACTCATCCATGTCATTAAGCATACTGTTATGTTCCTCCCCCACGCATCTTCAGTATATATCGACGAAATTCGACAAATATACGATTTCTACTTGCCTACCCTGTTGCACACTTGGGTATACGACATGTGTGAAGAGTGAGTGGCTGGCCTCTGAGACTGTCAAGATCGTAATGTTTAGTAATAACAACGGCCTTTAAGACACGATATGCAATTGATATAGCTTAGAATTAAAATAACACTAGCGATTAATGTCAATTTGAAAAACCAATAAACTTCCATTCACCTCAGTTGGGATTTAAGTCATTATTCACCAGAATTAGGAACAATGTTACAACCAGGATCGAATAAGCTGGTTCTATCAATGCGGCCAGTCTGACGGTCTCACTTCACAATTCAGTCGTAGATAGTTAGGCGGCTACTGTAAGATTAAGAACAAATACTTCCACTTAGCCATTATCCCATTTAAATAGAAATTTCGATAGTTGAAGTGAAATTAAAACTTTTTAGTCAACTGTTGGTTCTCATATCTAACTAAATCGGTGGCGTACCATACCAACCTTGTTTGTTCGAATCCTACAGTGATCCAGGTTACCGTTTCAAAACCAAACTATTCCAGATAATCTTAGTAACAAATAAATACACCTCTATTTGGAAATTGGAATTTCTATAGAATGACATCAGTCGGAGGAACATTGGAAAGCTGTTTCGTCCTAGCACGGGTCCCTTCAACAGTGCGCATCCATGACCCTACTACTAGCGATCGAACCCAGAACCTTTAGGTTCCACGGACAGCACGATACCATTGAGCCACTGAATTGGACGCTTTCGCGATATCATCATATCCTTTGAACAATTGAGTCAAAGCCCCTTTTCTTTCCGACTTCCTAAGAATTTTTTTTTCGTTTTTTAGCTATTCGCCTTGTGTCTCGGCAGGTTACACATCAATGCCCAAAGTCCTATGTTGATATCCACTGAAAGAAGTAACTAAGTGCTAATTGTAACCGGTTGGTCACTGATAAAACGTCTATATGTAAAGCTCAAGCAACTTTCGCCAGCTTGTACCACCAGTGAGATGGCATCCAGTTGTCTCGTAAGACTACAGTGCACAACACAGTAGTTCATTAGGCCCCTCTCTACGTCCGTGTACATCCCTATGCAAAATGAATCAGATGAAATGACTATCATCCTGTTTGTAGGATCATTTACTTGTTATAGAACCGATAAGTAAACAATGTAGAGACTAAGGAAATAGGGCAAGTTGGACGATGAGATTATAAACTAGGATATTTCTTAACATACACTGTGTCACTAACTATTACAACAAGCTACTTTTACTTGAGTAGGACGAGATTAGAAGAAACCTACGCAGGGGATGGGGGTGAACTGATCCACAATGCAAAAACAAGCAAAATATGTGGCTAGATTAGTGAACAGAAATGTACTCATTACCCGTGTGCACGTGCATGGAGTAGACAATGAGTTACACCTATTACGTGCGGGTGAATGATACCAGCTGACTGCCCAAACCCCGATAAAATGAAACGGGGCTCGAACTCGTGACCTATTAATTGAAAGTCATCTGCCTAAATCAGTGAAGACAGTTAAAGGCGTCAGATAAAATTGTATATTTCGTTAAAACAAATTTAAGAGTTATAAGTCCCTATAAACACTTCAATTGGGTACTGTGAGAATTCCCGGTAGGACAGAAGGAGGGCGGGGTAACATAAAATGAAAAGGCGTTCACCTGAACATGAAGAATTCTTCAACGCTTTCAGAACTTACCACTTCAATCTGTTACAACAGTCTTAACCAGCGACAACAATTCAATCAACATAACAGTAATTTCGACCCACTGTGCTTAGTGACTGTCTTAGCGCCCTCGGAAACGGCATGCTTGGTAAGTTCTGGCAGCAACAGACGGATAGCTGTCTGTACTTCTCGGTTTGAGATAGTAGACTTCTTGTTGTAGTGAGACAGACGACTGACTTCAGCCGCAATCCTTTCAAAGATGTCATTCACAAAGGAGTTCATTATTGGCATAGCTTTGAAAGATATCCCCGTGTCAGGATGCACTTGACGGGCAACCTTGTATATGTAGATGGCATAACTTTCCTCCTCCTTCTTCTTCTTCTTCTCCACTTTAGGCGCCTTGATCTTCGAGGCTTTCTTAGCAGCTTTGCCCGACACCACAACCTTTGGTGGCATTCTTCAGTAGATAAACGCTTACCAACAGTAATTATTAGAATGCTTATCAAAAAAAAGTTTACAATTAACTTTATCGTGCATACATGATTTTACCTGGTAGGCGAAACTCTACAGATGTGAAAGAAACCTGACCATCAAACCAGCATCATGTTGACTTGTCACGGACTGACATCATTTGCAGAAGCTATGAAGACCTGGAACTTCCTTAAAGGCAAATACCACTCATCCACTGCTCTCAAGCTTTCAAGGTGTATTTCCAACTGATGAATACACCCTACTTGAAATCAATCAATCAATCTCCCAAGCAAACCTCCAAAGTAGACAACAACAAAACCGTCTAGTAAAAAGGTATTTATAGGCCAAAAAAAGAAGTTAAAGTTTACACGAAGGAAAGGGGGGGGGGCGGACTTGATTTGTGGTTAAACAAACACACGTTTATCTTATGTCAAGAGAAGAATTTACATTTGGAATTTGAAAATTAGGTATGCAACTACGTGCAACGATTGTCACAATTCTGTAATAATAAACAAGAAATAAAAGAAAAAACAGACATGTAAATATTTGTAGACAATCCTTAAAGAAGATGATCAACACAGATAATATCCATTTCAAATTGTATGATAAAAGTGTAGCCACCATCTACTCAATCACGGTTAATGATACGAATACCTGAGGCTCTGTCCAAACTTCAATGTACGTGGGATGGGGTTCGAACTCGTAAGCCAGTACTGGCAGCATCCACGTCCACATTTCCTATACAGTTGATGTCGTCAATAGGGTACCCGTTGGAAATCGACCCCACTAAAAATGGCACACTCCCCCCCCCCTACTCAAGGGTTTTCCGTTTGCCGACGGTATTTGTTTTTCTTATCTAGCGTTAGAACAATGAAATCTCAAGTCAACATCTGCTCTCGAACAGATGTCGTGTAGGCTCATCCGGACACAGAAATTTACTTTTTTTTTAGGTGTCCTTCAAAAAAAAACAACTTCCACAATGTAGGAAGTGTCAACCACTTGCACACTTCCAATATGACTGTTTGTATTTTCAGTCTCATATCAAGTAATCTGCCGAATTCAATTTCATTCGCTCCGAACAATATATAGGTGCGTATACAGATCATAATATCCATTCTTAACAGAGAGTATGATGTATATATATATCGTCAAAACGTATTGAAAACTAACCCCTAAGACAGTTGTGAATTCTAGTTCATCAAATGACCGAAGTCATTAAACGGTGATGTATCGTTCACTACTTGTTAAAACAAAGAAGAATGAGATTCCCTTTAATGGATGGTAAGGATAGTGGGACTCGTCAGCCAGATATACTCGCCTCGCAATGATATCCCCCCATCAAGATTCAAAAGCAAGGTGTAATTGTTCCACCACGTCAGTGTCACGATAGACACTCCTCGAACGACAGTGATAGTATAGTTTTTGCATCTCCCCATCTCTAGTTAGATGGAAGTAACCAGATGATGAGTCCCAAATGGGATGAAACGCTCGTCTTGAATTTCACCGCTACACTGAAAATACTGGCAACAGTAAAGGCATTGGCACAGAAGTCCATATACCAATAGTGCCTGATCGATTCGGTCCAATCGGTTCCTTGTACAAAAAAATATCACTCAATTTCCCCAAAAAGGCGCTGTCTTCATCTCTCTCTCTCCCTTCCTTCCCCCCTTTTCTCTCTCTCTCTCTCTAATGTGGACCGACAGTGAGACAAACGAACAAAATTATCCACTTATAGATTAGACAATATGTCATCATTCATGTTAAAGGTGTTATTAGAATCTACAACTTACGCTTCAATCTCTGGATTACATCGAGCAAATTCATGCTCCCAAAATCTGTAAGCTGGATTACGTAATAATTCTGCACTTGTCATTAATAATCCCCATGGATGTGGACGATTTACAATTAATCTTTCCATTAATACACGACTAATCTGTTCTTTCACTTGTTCTTTAGATTGTTCAGAAAATAAATATAAAATTGTATAACTGAAATAATAAGTATGAGAATTAGGATAACGAAGTTGATTTGCCATACAATTCAGTAGAAGGTAACGACCTGAATGGATGAAATGCACAAGAAAAGGAAAGATTACAATAGATTCCATAAGTGATACAGACATATAATAACCTAACCAGTTTGCGTTATATCATACTTGAATTCATATAACATCAAGGGTAGTTAATACTGTACAGCATGAACGGACTGATTACTGACGAAATCTCCTCAGCTGGGATAAATAAAGCCTGTTTGACATTGGCCAACTCGCGTCATCTGTAGCTCTAACTGGCGAGATATCCGACTCTCTATAAAAGGAGGAATATACTGCGGTGCAGCTATTAAAAGTAGGAGACATGAAGTGATTACTGGGTTATGATCAGAGATGTCTTCGGAGCATTGCTCGCATTTGGCGGAATCACCGTGTTAACAATGTTGAGGTCTAGCGACGAGTACTAGGTAAGGAAGTCGATCGATGACGTAGTGAATATTCATCGCTTGAGGTGGTTTGGATGTACACTGCACATTGCCAACCCACCGCCTACTACGGTGTACCATGTTAGTTGAAGTACGATTGGAATAGAAAAAGGCTCAAGATGACCAGATCGAGACGTGGTACAAGTCCATGAAGTCCCTGACTGTTCGTCTGAACCGTGTAGGGGGACGTAAACTATTTGACCAGAATCCCCAAGACGATAGGCGAATGGTAATAAGCAAGACAGGCAGATCAACTGACGGAGCTTGTCTACCTCCATCGACTGTGATAGCTTGGACACGTACTGCGCATGCCAAGCCACTGCCTTCCTTGGCGTGTCATGCTAAAAGAAAGTTGCATTAGGTTGGAATAGAATTCAGGTTAGCCAAACCAAGATATGGCACCAGTTCATGAAGTCTCTCCAAACGTTCATCTGAGTTGTGTGAAGATATGCAGACTGCCTAGCTGGGGTCCCCAAGACGAAAAGAATCAATAGTGCGGATATTTTCAATATTCGATGTCTTCAAAAGCTTGAAAATTCCCATTAGCCATCATCTTCAGAAATTGTTTATTCTTTCACACAACTCTGTCTTTGATATCAGTCTTTTCCTATCCACATATTCTTTTGCATGTTATACTGTAAAGTATGACAAAAGTTGAACCCTAATGCACTTGTATGTGAGGTTCTACGTTGATTCTGTCTGCTTATACTTCTGCACAAAGTATTTCTTGTAAAAGGATGCAAAATGTTTCCTCTATCTGTTTGTTTAAAATCTACCGAGAAAAATAAATCAAATTTATTATACTTGAACTCTACGATGGATTTGTAGGATGCTTAATCCCTTATTATTATTATTCCCTTGGGTTCCTAGTGGAACAAAAGGCTTCAATAGCACGTCTCCATTCCACTCTCTTCTCTCCAGTCTTTTCAACCTGGCTCCATGACAGCCCAGAAGCTCTCATTTCTTCCTCACATCATCTCCACTATCTCACCCTCAGCTGGGAAGCCAAACTCGTCGTTTCTCATCTGGGTTCCACTGGAGCAACTGGTCTCGCGCGTGATGTCCCCAGTCGGCCTTCTCAATGGATGCTCAATCCATCTCCACTTCCTTCCACTGAATATTTGTTCAGCGATGGGTTCTTGGTTGGTTCGTTGCCAGCCAGAGTTCTTTGTTGCTGATTCTTTCTGGCCATCTGATCTTCAGTAACAAGCCAGCGTGGGCAGTTGTTGATGAATGTCTGTAGTTTATTGAAAATCCCTTTCGTAACGCGCCAAGTCGCTTAATCCCTAAGAAGTATTAACTTTTAATATGTACATATTATCCTTGTAAAATGTAAACCTCATTTTCGCGCCATGTAACGCTACTTCTGCTTCCTTACGATATTAAACGTTGATTGATCCATTCTACACTTTGAACATGCTATTTTGTTTCCCTTGGCCATGGCCAACTATGAATTCTTATTCGGCAATAGTAAATATACTTTCAATCTCATCGTCTTCTTCTGGTGTCGGTTGAATATTGAGTCACTGTTCTATCGTTGAATCGTATCGCATTGGAGCACTGTATCGTTATATATATATATATATATATATATATATATATATATATATATATACCGTGGATTATAACAAAGAAACGGTTAAAGGAAGATGAACTTCCATAAATAAATCCACTTACCTTCATTATCAAGATTTAGCACTAAACTTTGAATGATATCCATTTGAGGTGTATGTGCAATAGTGCTCATATTCAACGGCATTCCTTTTTCACGAAGACTACGAATAGCAGTAATACAGACGTATAATGTCAAGTTAGTCATTAATTCAATATTGTAATGCATACTATCAGCAAGACCAAATGTTGCCAATTGCTGAGTTGCACGTACTCCCCATAATAAGGCAGCTAAAGCTGCACTAGAACTGCTACTAATAGAACTAGGCAAAGCAAGTGTTGTTCTACAACTTGCTGTACTGTTTGCAGATGAAGTATCATGGTCAGCAGCTGCGGGAAAATTTCCCTCCCAAGCTTCTGCAGCACTACTCTTCCCGTTGATCTATTGGCAGGTTGAATAGCAGAACTAGATGTAGAATGGTCATCAGATGATTTATCTTCATTCTTGATAGATGTTGAGCCTACATCATTTGCTGCTAGTGCAACTGCATATGCTGCCAGTGCTTGTTGATGTCTAGCCTGCTGTTGAGGATGGTAGGCGAACTGTGGCGGCGGTAAAGGTGGCATTATATCATCAGCACGCCTCAACATTGTGACGAGTTCACTGAGCAGTTTCACAGGAGCCCGAGTGGTCAGATATGCATCTAATTCACACCGCATCGGTTCTGGAAGGCGAGAACCAGCTTCCATGCAATATCCAGTAGGATCTTCAAGAGAAGCTAAATGATCAACTGGAGGTGCCTGTTGAGAAAGAATACAGAAAGAAAGTCATTAGGATACACAAAACTGAATCATAAATGGAACACTAATAACTAGATGACACAGAGTAAACAATTGTTTCTTACTCACCTGTAGAGGGTCAGCAGAAGGTATACCTCGTTTAGGCAATGCAGATAAAATGATATTACGCATCTGAATGGAGTTGGATGGGACAACATCACAAAACAATGCATAATAGTCTGAAACAAACTCCGGGAAATCATGTATCAATACTAATAAAAGGCGTAGGGTAGCTTTATATAAACATTGAATTGGTTTAGGCATAAGTGCATTTTGAAGGAAATATCCCAAAAATTTCAATAAATCCGCTAACAATTGAGCATACATAGCTTGATATGCTGAACGAAGTTTTGTAGGACCTGGAGCACATAGGATACGTCCAACAAACCAACGATGAGCTAACATTTCAAGCCATGAAAAGACAAATGCAGTCGCTTTCTCTGGTCTTAAACAGTGTAATAGATGACAAAAAATTAGAGGTAATTGCTGTTGGAGAGTTAATGGACCCAATGATTTCATTGATGTACTACCGATTCGAAGTTCATTAACACCATCTCCTGATGATTTACCTGTACACATTTTATCTGTGTCAAGATTTTGATGTGTATTATCACTATCTGAATTTGTATTCTCAACACATATATCATCTGTATTGACATCTGATCTCGGTGAAATACCAATAGGAAATTGTCCTGTAGGCGGTAATAATCCAGGTGATTGTAGTTCAACAAATAAAATAACCAGAAGACGTTCAAAAGGCATAGGATGAAATAAATCACGACGAACTTCATGCTCTTGAAGTAATGTACCAGCAATAAGTCCTAACACTTTATTCAATAATGCCACCTGTAATAAAATAAAGGAATACTTAGATTTAAAAAGTACCAATTAAGAGATATCTATATCATACTGAAAAAAGGATTCAGTTTAGACTAGATACACATGTGATATACTATTACTTTTAGTTCATGAAAGCCTTAAAAATCATCTCATTTTCCAGAAAGAGGTGAGAGTATACCTGATACATACATCATGACACTGAACGCTTATATAATCGGTTCTACAGAGCGATGTGAACGCATCCATCCAAATCAACATACGACCAAGCATTTTACTGCGTAACGGCTCAACCTCACGACACACTTCATATCACTACATCAAGTAAAAAGACAGTCAAGTGGAAGATGAAGAGAAGAAAATTCGGTCAAAAGAAATATACGAAAAGTACGAGAAGAAAGAAACGAAGAACGACAAAATGGTGACATTCGGTATAGCGTCCTTAACATGAGGATAATGTGTGTGGCGATACATCTGCGCCACTGAAATAGGCTCTAAGCCATGTGGTCGCCTAAGAGTCTCCAACCACTCACTGGTTTCTCTTGTCCTATGGACTGACCCCAATTACTCAATCTGCATCGCCTCACATGGCTTAAACCAACAGTCGAACACCTCATACATTGATGCCATGTTTTTATTTACCTACCTAGTGCCTTTTTCCAGTCTAAACCTACTTTGGTCACCATTGTGCTATGAGGCAGACAGCGAATAGGAATACGTAAAACATCTCAGTCGATGAAAGTTTACAATCATGTCAATTGACTTACCTCTTCTCCCTAAAACTCCACTGACTTATGCGTTACTCACATGGTGACACCACAGAATACGGTCTGTACTACGACGGCAACTGTGGTCAAACACCTGAGGCCAGCCTTCTCATGTCTTCCTTCCACCTTCAATCGCTATGTTTCACAGTCATACAGTAGGACAGACTGAGCTGCTGTGTAGTACACGCGATCGTTAATAGACAGTCGAATATCACAGAGGTGGCGTAAGTTAACAAACGCCAGTTGAGCCCTTTATATTCCTGCAGAGATTTCATCAGGTATCCTATCCATTTTACTCCGTGAAATACGGTAGCGTTATAGCCCATTATACATCATCTACAGCTCATAAGCTAGTATCCATATATAAAGTATTGTGGATGTAAACCGGTATAACTAACAATCAGTTCGATTCGTGTATTGTAATTGCTACACCACTTCAATGTGCTCATTTTCAAATCTGCACACTTTTCACTTCTATAGCTTTATATTCAACTACGCATATGGTAATCGGTTTTTAACTGATATTCACCAATAGGAAACTTATTTTTATTACCGACTGTTGATCAGTAGATAAGGCAGTAAACACACATGAATGCGTAATATACTACAATGGTGGAAGATAGATTATTACATAACACTGATACTCTTGAGGTATAGTGTGACATGTAGCCTGTGGTTTTGTTGTATATTTGATGAAATTGTATACCTAAGCCTATGGATACATCCAGTCTACATGATAAACTATTATATGTAAGCAATCGGATTAGACTGGTGGCGGGGGACGGGGACGGCGAAGAAGTGAACACATGAATAGCTAACGATGAAGCAAAATAAACAGTTACATAGACAATATTTAAAAGGAAAAAAAAACATTAATCATCACCTTAGCATTAGGATATTCTCCTTGAGGAGTTTCACCTAACTGATTAATTAGGATAGTGACTAGACGAGCATAGGCATCCAATTCCACATAAGCTGCAACACGACAATTAGTTGAATTGGTACCACCACCACCGCCGCCACCACCACCACTACTACTCGGTAATCCTCCACTATTCCCACTAGTTGTTTGAGGTTGTTGTTCATGTAATTTAAGTTGTTTCATAGCTCTTTCAATGACAAAAATTGTACCTAAACGTAAAAATCGAGTAGAATTATTTATATTCGGTAGGACACCGATTTGTGTTAATTGACTAAGAAGACTTTCAATAGTAGTTGGATCACGTTGTTTAGGGCTTTGATAGATTTCAATCCAATTTCGCATAATCAATTCTACTTTTTCCTATTAAAAACAAAAAAGAAAAAAGAAATATAAACAGATAATTGAAGTGAGTTATTTATCACATAATGATCCGTAAACATAACAACAACAACAACAAAAAGGGAGATTAGTTCAAATTATTGACGAAAAGAAAAGAAGAAAGAAATCATTTTTCATTATGCATAACTCACTTGAAGATTAGGAGGATCATCGAACTCATGAGCTTGACTACAACCAGCATATAATGCACCAATTGTAGCAGAAGAACCAGTGAACAATGGTGACTGTTCCATAAGACCCAAATCGAGTAGACCACGAACACGTGCACAAGCTAATCTTAATCGTAAGCCTAAAGGATCTGTTAATGAAGGTGTTGATAAAGTGTTGTTAAGGTAAGCAACACGATTTCTCATTGCTTCCAAGGTTAACCATAAATCATATTCATTAAGTACAGTGAATTCACGTTTTGTTGAACATATGAGTGAATTATTAGATGAATTTATTGGATAGTTAACAGTATTACCACCAGAAACATTCACATTACCACTTGATGATCCATTGTTAACACTACTTGACTGTGAAGGGATAATAGATGTATTAGCTCGAGCATAACAAGCAGCTGCAGCTGCTGCTGCACCCAATGATGTACCAGTTGGACTAGGCAAAACAAAATGATCCAATAAATCAATTACAAAAGTAATTGCTCCTGAATGACCTTTAGCAACTTCTTGAGCCAAATAAGCATCAATCTATAAAGATAATTAATTGTTATTTTACAATTAGAGAAGACATATAAAAAAACGTATGAAGAGTAAGTGATATAGAGAAAAAAAAAGAGCAAACAATCTTGTACATACATTCACATGAAATTGATACCTCCTCCTGATACACTACTATCTAGTTGCTTAAACCTCAATAGGTGGTACGGGGTTCGAACCCGTAAACCACTAGTTGTAATCAACTGCCAAAACCGGATTCGGACCACAGTCAGGAGTCTTGTACACTATCCATGCAGTACGCAATGAACTACATCTATGATGTAACGGATAGTGATACTACTATCTGGTTGCCTAAACCACAGTAGGTGGGGAGGCTTTCGATTCAGTGACTCACTGGTTCGAGACTGATCATGGTCCACATTTCCATATCACCATCAATCATCACCTAACATTACTACTAGTCTGCTATCACATTCAGATAGTCGAATGATAAGCAATATGATGCTCCCCTCACCAATCTATTTAGATTTCGATTGGGATGAGAAGTTGTGACTGTGGGCAGGCAGTGTGAATACCATAAATCGGGGTGGTAACACATCACGTATTCACATACTCAGGCCAAACCCTTGATGACTGATGAATTGAAATAAAAATCTAGTGCGCAGTCGGATCTGCTAGCTCTCAGTTGGTAGAACATCGAGCCGGAAACCCGATGGCGGCTGATTTGAATCCGGCCGGTCATCCTCAATCATCTATCGGTATATGTATATACTTCGAAGCGAGGAACTTCAGAGGATTGACAATAAAAGAGCAGAAATGGAGAGAAATTTTATCTCGAAGGTAGAATATGTGGATTATATGTACAAATCATACAGAATGTAATGGTAGAATGCTTTATTAATAGTCATTCTAGATATTGATGATGGATAATGGATAGCAGTGGAATTCAGGATGCGCATTTTCTTCTGTTTTGAACTCATCAGCTGGATGTATGTGCCTCACAGATAGTGTTGTTATTCCTATTAACGCTAGAATCTAGTACCCATCGATTCAAACGCCAGAGACTTATCCACTAGGCCACCCATGATAACCACTTCTTGTTCAATGGGTAAAGTTTCATTGTTATTGCTTGCATTATCCCGTCGTTGATTGGAGCGAATAGATCAGCCACTACTACTGGCATATGATATATGTATCAATTAATATAAAAATTTAAAACACAAGGAATATGGAGGTGACAGCACAGGAGACCATATGACAATAGAGACCGGTCAGTTTGGCCCAATCAGCAACAGGATAATACAGCGGACGTCAAATAATCATTTTACTTTCACCTCATCAGTGACATCGTATATTAGCGGCTAAAATTACGAAAATCATTTGAACCTCATAGCTCAGTTGTTAGATCATCATACGGGAAACTGAGTAGTGGCTGGTTCGAATCCGGTCGCAGTTCAAATTTCCACATCACCTTCAATTATCATCGAGTATACATATTAGTCTATCAAAACTACGGCTACCTCAATTAGTAATTGGTTAGAACCAATTAAAGGTTAATCATTAGGATTAAAACTCACTTGAGAGAAATAGATAACATGAACTCTTAAAAGTTCAGCAAATGCTTCCCAATTCCATTTGATTGAAACGAGACGATTATCACAAGTGGTATTGCCTGCATTCTCATTAAACTAAAATAGATTTTTTTAAAAATAAAAACAAACAATAAAACAGAGTTGTTAAATGATTAACAAGCTAAATAATGATACTGTGTGTGTGTGTGTGTATGTGAGCTAGTGATATACTATCATCTGTCTCCACAAACCTCGGTAAGTGGAGCGGGTTTCGAACCCTTAACCACTGAATGCACAGCTCCTTTTGTTGATGATGACTGAAGATTACTGGTCAGGGGAAATTTATCATTATTATTATTATTATTTTTCCCTTGGGTTCCTCGTAAAACATACGGCTTCAGTAGCCCGTCTCCAGTGAACTCTGTTCTCTGCAATCTTATCAACCTGGCTCCATGACAGCCCACAAGCTCTCATTTCTTCCCCACACCATCTCGTCCATGTCCCCCTCACCTCGGACGCCCAACTCGTCGTTTCCCATTTAGGTTGCATTTGAGGGCCTGGTCTGGTACGTGATGTCCCTAATCGGCCTTCTCAGTGTATGCCCAATCAATCTCCACTTTCCTTCTACTGCATATTTGTTGGGTGATAGGTTGTTGCTTCGTTGGTTCGTTGCCAGCCAGCCAGAGTTCCTTGTTGCTTATTCTTATTATTCTGGCCATCTGATATTCAGTAACAAGCCAGCGTTGGCGGCAGTTGTTGATGAATGTCTGTAGTTTGTTGGAAATCCCTTTCGTAACACGCCAAGTCTCTGAACCATATAGCAGCACTGACTTGGCTGGCACTGATGTTAAAAATCCGGATGTTGTTCATGCTTTATGCTGAGTACAGTGCAGTAGATCTCCACAGTGATTTCAGATTTATGAAAGCAGCCGCTCTCTTTATTGAACAGAAATATATATATGTATATCGTAGTATCCGATAGCTACTCTTCATCTCCTCACCCCACACTGGGAAGAAATTTACTGGAACAGATAGCATAAAATGTTTCAATATCACTGAGTTGGCGCTACCTCGGTTGAATACACATTATAACCTTAATCGCTGTTGACTAGTGTGTACGGCTTTTTTTATAATGAAAAAAAAGAGCATTGGAAATCATATAAACAGACAAAAGTACCTGTTTCCAACCACCTGCCGCCCAGGCATCTGCTATATCTAATGTACTTTTATCCCCGGAAGGGTTTATTAAATCAGATTCTTGATTTTGTAGGTTGTCAGTAGTTGAAATATTTCCAGTGTTTGACAAGGATGTAGAACTTTGACTATTACCTCCATCTAAATGGATCCATGTATGAGTAACCTACAAAGTGATAAATGTATAGAAACAATAAAAATGATAAGATGAAAACTCTTTTCTTTATTATAACAAAAAGTATATGATAATTTTTCTCATTTAGTTGGCAACTTACTTGTCGAGTAACCCATGCATAACCAAATGGAGTCTGTTCGAAAGATAACATATGACGAAGAGTAAGCATATGAGCCTCTTTTAAATGTTCCATTGTTTCTAATCCACGTGGTTGATCTCTCCAAAAACTGGGTCGATAGTGTTCTAGGAAACTTTGAACCATTACAGTGATCACATTACTGGCTATATTTGTATCTCGACTAGTTTTAGCCAGATGAAGTGCATCAATTAAACAACGTAAAGATTGACACATTGGATCATTTGCAGGACGTAATCGGCCAGAAATAGCAACTAAATGACGTTCTATCTGTCCAACAATTTTATCAAACAAACCAGCTAAGGGTGTCTATTAGAAAATGAATAAAATGAAAGTTGTACAATATATCGTGAAATTTATAACATCAATATGCACATAAAGGTTAAACTGTGTATGTCATCATATGAGATCCATTATAGTACACTTGATTAAGAAACAATCCAAGTCACTATTACACACTGAAAACAAGACTGTTCAAAAGAAAATATTTTCAAAGTAGTATTCATCACATAGTGAAACTAGTCGGAGGATCAGTGGAAACATGAAAGCACCAGGGAGGTGTTTCGTTCCAATATAGGGCTTATCAGTAGTAAGCACCCACCAGAGATCGAACTCAGTGCACCTTTAAGTTCCTCAGTGAAGGAGTTAAACATCAAGTTAGTGGGTTACAATTGAATGATTCAGTTTTCCACATCTATGAATTCACAATATTGTGAAACATATCCACCAAGGTCTTCAGTTTGACCAGCAGGTCATGGTTTCCCATAAGAACTTTGGAATATTCATCTCAAAGTATATCACTAATGAGAGAAATATAATAATGTATTCAAGGAGTTATATGGATTTTATTCATCACGACTGTACTATTGTTATTACTATCGTTATATATTATTAGAACGCAAACATGGTGCAGCAAGGGCTATCCGACAAGCGTCGAAAAGTTGCAGGAAGCTAGCAGAGACGCAAGGTTTATCAGTAGAACATTCTTCCAAGCCGCAAGCGGCTTTACTCACCACTTTCATGCCATCTTGCAAGTCCAGCTAATGCTCATCTACACTTTCTGGACAATTAGATGCCAGTCTTAAATCTAGCTCGAATTGGTATTGAGTTGCAATGTTACGTGTAACTAATCCACTCGCATCGACCTGTTTACAACGACGATTTTGATGACCACCAAAACACAAGACGAGCTTAGCACACACTAAAGCATAGTCAGAATCCAGGCAAGTACTCAATATGGAGCGGCAGTTTTATTTGCACCCATGCCGTCGATAAGCTGATTCCAACATGATCTATTTGAGTTCAGGTTTGAGTGGTAGAAGGAGGATGCCAAGTAGCACAACAGCGATGGTTGAGTCAGAAGTTGGTGCTGCCTACATATAGTTTGTGACATGTACAAAGCTTCAGAAGACGATCGCTATCATCCGACCTGCGGCCGCCAACCAGTCCCCATTGGCCACTTAAACGACACTCCTGTAAGTCTAGACGCCCAATCTAGGCATTCAAGACCCCAGCTAGCGCTAGGTTATATGTAAAACACGATTGAGTAGGTCACTCAGTTGATGATAGAAGGTTTATCCCTACTCAGAAAGCCGATTTCGTCCAACATAATACACAGTAAGGCAGGCGGTATAAGAGTTACACACGAACAATATGAACTGCCGGCTTATGCAACATTTCCTCGTTAGTTCAGTGCATTTACAAATATATACACAACCTAGAATACAGTTGGATTGAAATAGATAGATTGGATATTTTGGCAAACATAATGAGTCAAAGATGAGTAGAATAGTTAGAAGACAATACCGATCAATCTGTTACCATATAAACTGCATCTTCAATGGCTAATATACTTTATTACAACAATCACAGGAATAGATACTCACATCGAAACCTACTTGGTAGCCTCCAGATGGTTGTTGAGGGGTAGGAGTTGGGTAGACTGTCGGTTTCACAGGTGCTCCAGTAGCAACTCCTACAGAAGGAGCTGGTTGTCGTTGAAGAATTCCAGTCGATGAGAGCTGTTGTTTTTGTGTCGCAGATAACTGAAGATATGCAGCCATAGAAGCAGGAGAATTTACAGTAGATGGAGAAATGGATTGTTGACCTGTTGTAAGTGAAGTTAAAGTTGCAGTTGGCAAAATGGATGAAGTCGATGTACCCATCATAGTTCCTGATGTACTTGGTGCAAAACCAGGAATGACACGACCGAATTCTTCATAAACAGCCATTTCTGTTGCAGTTGGACCACCAGCCTTTTAGAAAAGAAAAAAAAAATTTGCATCTGGTAACAAAACCCGTGATAGAACAGAACAACAAACGAAATGAAACGAACCTAGCCACCTTGTACACATAGATACAGAAGTTACATCTATGGTATAACAGTTAGTGATACTACCTGATACCCTAAACCTCGCTAGGTGCTGCGGGGTTCGAACCAGTGATATAACAAACGATTTACTAGATCATAAAAAAACGAGAGCATATAGGAATTTGTTTACAAAGATACTGGAAATGAAGTTTATTGACTGTCATAACTAATGTATCCAAAGTTCAAATCTGGCTCCATAATAAATCGAAGTTCATATAGGATGAGTATGATTAAAAGCCTAATACATAGGGCTTCAGTAGCACATCTCTAGTGCACTCTGTTCTCTGCAAACTTTTGAACCTAGTTAACTAATTCACTAGTTACTAGGTGATCTTAAGCTCAGGTAAAAAGGTAAGGTTGGGTGTTAGGTTAACAACCACCCCCCCCCTTAAAACTAATTCAACCGTTAAAGAAACTTCAAAGCACATCCTATAGTTGATATACAAATTATTCTTATTGTTATTACCAAACAACTTACTGAAAGACGTAATGATTCTGGCATATTAGATTGTTGAGATGTCAATTGATTTGTAGCTTGTTCCATAAAACGTATTGGGCCAAGTTCAGTACGTAGTTTAATATCATTTTCTAGTTTTTTTTCAACATCTTTGACAGCTTTTTCAGCAACTAATTTCTGCATATATGCTAGACATATATGCATACTTTTCCCGACAATAAAATATGCTAATTGTTGAATAGCTTCTTTGTCTTGAATTGTTGCAGATTGAATTTCAGATAGTATAATATTCTTTAAACTTGTTACAAGAGACATACCTAAAGCTTCTCTTGCTGTTATTAATGACATTCCAGCAGCAAGATGTCGAATCATTTGACAACCAGCATATAATATACGTGTAGGATCTGGATCTAATGCAAAATCTTTACGTACTATAGCAATAACAGTTGTTACAGTGATACGTGCACATCGTTCAAATACTGGTGTAGTCAATTCATTGATTGATCGTATAATAGCCGGTTCAATTAAACTACGTAATCTAGGATTAGCTTGTAATAAAGAGAATGATGTATTTATCACATTGGAATTATTTCCAGTATTTCGACTATTCATTACAGCATTAGTTAATAATTCATCTAAATTTAAACAAGCACGTATACTTCGAATATTTACATCTTCATAACGTAATAAATGCCCAGTGAACAATGTTCCACTCATATCATTATCTGTTTAATTAGAAGAAAAATTAAAAAAATTGTCAAAAAGTTAATAATTATGAAGAAAGAAAAAAAAACAAAGTTATTGCTTATTTAATCATTAATATCAACACAGGACTAGGCATTACTACTATGTAACAGTCCAACTTCGCACCACACCTTATATCAGTGTACATCAAGTAAAAATGCGTGTAGACAACTGGGCTATTAACATCGATTCTCAGTCATGTGATCATCTAAGAGTCTCCAACCATTCATTGGTTCCTCTTGTCCCATGAACTGACCCTAACCACCTAGTCTGCATCACTCCATATGGCTCAAACGAACAATCGAAGACTTCAATACAATGGTGTCACCTCAGACCTTTTTTCAGCCTGGGACTACTTTGGCCATTGCTTATTTAATTGGTGATTATGATTAGAGTAAGTGTATATTCTCAGCCTTTATCTAGAAATCAGTCAATTTCGACAAGTTATGACTCACATAATTTAGACAGTCACAGTGTCTAAACATACAGACAGATAGTACATCAATCACTGCAACATATATCTCATAGTCGAAAGCAGAAAGGTGGAGATGTGATCGATTGACTTAAGAACATGATTTTCAAACAATAAGGTTTCGGCTTCGACCTCCGCCTCATCTACTTCAGCCTGACCAACCGGGTAGTAACATTAACCGTCACACAATCAATGTGGTTAAATAGGCCTTGTACATAAATATGCAGTGGGTTAAATAACCTTTTATCATACTATGTTGTCATTTACATTACCTCATAGCATAGGATTAAAATGGTTGTGTATGAGAGTAACAAATTGAGAAACGCTATCACATATACACTATAGTCTCTTCGGCTTCTTCTTATGCCATTTGATAATTCAATGATAAGCATTGTAAGTCATCTGCTTATAACAAAATATGTTTTGCTGATCAGAAACCGACTAATCTGTTCATATCAATAATTGGATTATAATGCAAGAAATATGAATCTTGATTCATACCCATTGCAAGTACAACGGTTTGTTAAAACACAGCTTTTCAAGTCATAGAACACTTTAGTTATTGTATGTAAACTGCTGTTCACCTTGATAAAGAGCCTGAGTCATACTTACAACAACAAAATGACTGGGCAGTCAGTGTGAATACAGACCAAGTGATAGTAATTGGTCATGAATCCACATGATAGTAGGGCGAAACCCCATCTATGATTGATGAAGTGAAATAAAAATCCGGTCAGTAGTTGGACCTCGTTACATGCTAAGTGATCCATAATAGAAAGCTCAGTGATGCCTTTAAAGTGAAGACACGAGTAAGACAAGGTTGTCTACTATCGATTACCGATGATCTTCCTCATTGTGGTCGATTGGACTCAAGTGGATCATGCAACAGACAACTGTGAGAAGCGACAAGATGGGCATAAGCTGGGTGGATGGATGAAAAGACTCCAGAAGGAGATTTGCACTTCGACGAAGAAGCAGCTTCTATATGATGGTTGGGAGACTTGGCTTGTTACGAAAAGCATTTCCAACAAACTGCAGACATTCATCAACAGCTGTCGCTTACGCTCACTCGATACATACACTGAAGATCAAATGGCCAGAATAATAGGAATAAGCAACAAGGAACTCTGGCTGGCTGGCAACGAACCAACGAAGCAACAACCTATCACCCAACAAATATGCAGTAGAGGGAAGTGGAGATGGATTGGGCATACACTGAGAAGGCCGATTAGGGACATCACGTACCAGACCAGGCCCACAAACGGAACCTTAATGGGGAACGACGAGTTGGGCGTCCCAGCTGAGGGTGGTATGGACGAGATGGTGTGAGGAAGAAATGAAACCTTGTGGGCAGTCGAGGAGCCAGGTGTACGAAGGCAAGAGAGAAGAGAGTGAAATTGCGACATGCTACTGAAGCCTTACGTTCCACTGGGAGTCCAAGGGAATAATAATAATAACAGTGGAACCTCTTAGCTCTCAGCTGGTAGAGTATGGGGCCGAAACCCGGTGGTGGCTGGTTCAAATCCGGCCGCGGTTCAGATTTTCATTTCACCTTCAATCAACTCACAGTGTAAATACTAGTCTGCCAAACCAAGACTATCTTAGATAGCCAGAATGAAAACCGGTTGATTTTACATTCATTTTAGTAGCTCCAAGAGGAATCCAGGAGGCGTGTTTCATCCTATTTGGGACTTGTTCATCAGTTGGATGTATCCACATCCCAAGTACCCCTCGCTTCAAACGGTAAAGCGTTATCCATTAGGCCACTCGGGTACAATAACCACCTGTTGTGCAACAAGTGAAGTGAGTATAGACATCGAGAGATAAGGGAGAAGAAAGACAATGTAGAGGTTAACAAGCAATATATCGGTATACACTTGACCAGATCACCATAATGAACCGGAAATAATCATTAAGTATAAAACTAACACTTACTTAATGGACCAACAGGATTTGATTGAGCAGTAACAACAGCCATTGAGTTATTATGCGTAGGTAAAATGCTCTGTGGTGTTTGTGGTTGGTGAGACATTTGAACCTGTTGTTGCGTAGATGGTTGTCCATGTTGAAAAGTAGCCATTGCAGCATTCAACTGTTGTTGATGCTGTTGCATAGATAGTATAGAAGAAGTACAAGTTGCAGATGGACCATACTGTTGTTTTTTGATAGCGGCTACTGCAGCTGCAAGTGCAGCTGCTGTTTGACGATTAGAAGTAGAACATGAGCCAGTAGAGTTCTGTACTAAATTAGCAATATCTAAACCAGAAGCCTAAAACAATGAAGAAAAAGATTTCTTTTTAAGTGTCAACTCGATAATTAGTTAAAAATGAATGAAATAACATATGCTGCCCCCCGCCCTTCCCCTCCTCCTTAACCTTAACAAGATGGCAAAGAAAGCTAACACCTACTTGAGCTTGTAATGAAAACAAACATTACACTTAGTTGTAAAATGTTCAGATAGAAAGATCGACAAACTCAACGCAGAATTTCGCACACAATTACATCACTCCACGTTTCGCATACTCCACACAAACTACAGATGGATAGAAAAGGAGTAATATATCAGCAAAGTAAGCCAAGGTATGTGAAGCAATAAACAATTTGAAGATAGAAAAGTTAGTGTAAATATTCAAGCTTTAGAAGACGTCATCAAAGAGTGAATACATGTGCACCACTGTCACCGAGAGGCCTCAACTCCTTTCATCTCATGAACCCCAGTCAGACAGGCTACATCTCCGCCACACAGCTAGCAGTATTAAGTAGGTCAGTCGCGGCCCAGATAGATCAGTGGTAAAGTCGCTGACTACAACACTGGGTGACGCGGGTTCGAATCTCAGGCAGGACATCAGTTCCGTCAAAATTACAGATACCCCTTGCTGATGAGTGCCAAAATGCACGAAATCTAGGTCCAGGGCTTCCTGTCGATTGCCTCTAACCAACTAACATCTACTAATATGCACTGCGATGCTAAGCTTCCTAGTTTGGTAGCCACATTGCAAATATGATGGATAGAATTAGGTCTGCACCCAGGACTAGAAAACATGAAATTGGTTGCACTCCCGTGACCAATCGATACAAGTATTCATGTATCACGCCTTTTCAACCGAGAATCAATGAACTCAAACATACAATCCACCTTGACATAACCCAACATCAAAGGCAAACCAACCAACTAGTCATTCGTTTACCTTCTAAGGATACCCTCTGAATCAATCAGTCATTTACAAACAGGTTTGACAGAATAATCATCAATATATAGGTGTAACATCATCATTCAATTATCAAAAAAATTGGCAGTGTCAGCCTTGATTACGTTATACATACACCAACATACAAGTTTATAGTACTGAACTGACTGTGACAACAACGGGGATTTTAAGCTGGTGAATATTTCAGTGTTGTCTAGGTAGTCGAACTCGCTAGATAGTAATTAATGCTGCATATGTAGAAGAATAAAGTAAAATACAAGCTTAACACACGCACATACACATATGGTTAACTCCTAGATGTTAGACAAATGAATATGTTAGCAAAAAAGCGAAGCCTAGAACTTACCGAATAGGCAGTCTGTTGGGTTGACACAGACTCTGAGGCAGAAACCTGTTGACGCTGTTGTTGTTGTTGTTTGTGAAGCATAGAGAACATGGCGGGTAATTGTTGCTTTTGCTGCTGCTGTGATGATAAACTCGATCCAGATGTCCCAGTTGAAAATGTTGTCGTTGTCACGGTTGTTACAGTCGAAGAACCAACACCTGGATAAAGTGATGAGTCTACGCTAGTTATTGTGGATGGATTAGTTGACACAATAATTTGACCAGTTGTAATACTCGTAGTAGACACAGAAGCTGAAGTTGTTGTTGTTGTTGTCGTCGTTGTTGTTGTTGTAGCAATGAAGCATAATTCGATATCCAGGTTAGATGAATGTGATGGATCACGCAAAAAATGTGCAGATGGTATATCATTCAGATTCAAATCGAATGCACGATACAAGATTTCAATCTGTGAATAGTCAGAAACGAAGCACACATGAGACCAATGAATATACACTAGACCGAAGCTGTACATCTGTATCAGTTAAAATGTCGATAGAAGGGAATTGTTATGCCTACCTACTACTATTCAACCAAGGAGATAAAAATATACATGGAGCATATTACAGCCCGGAGTATTCCGATTGAGGTTGGAAGGGTTTTTTTTTAATACTTAATCCTAGTCTTTCTAGATGAACCTCTAGCCTATGAAAGAAGCTATCCGGTTTGATGGTGATAACAGACTGGTTGGTTGAGCACACACCTGTCAAAACTGTGAGGTTTTCTCAAAAGCTACAAGCTATTGTTTATAATATAGCAGCTGCACACTTTATATATGCATTATTCAGTAACAACTTACTGTTTATTACATTGAATAAACTGGAACAACTATACACTATGCTGTTAGATATCCTCTGATTTCATGAAATTCATCATCATCATCATCATCTATTCACTATCCAATCAAGGGAGTAGAATTGTCACCAACAAATTATGGAATACAAATGATAAGAATACAATCGGTGAAACAATTTGAAATACTTGTTGTTCCCCATAGACTTGGAAACAAGAATTCTAAGGAAGATATAGAAACTACATCATAATAGAAGAGAAAAATTCAAGGTATTAGATATATAGCAGGAAAGATAGATAGACAGAATCAAGTTCCCACACTTCATAAGTAGTATACAAAGAATAAGATGGATAGAAATAGACTGATATCAAAAAACATAAAGGTGTGAGGGAATAAACAGTCCGAAGGAAACTGTTATTGCGAATGTTCAAGCTTTAGAAGATGCCAAGGAATGAATACATCTGCACCGATATCACCAAGATTCCTCAACCACAGATTTCTGTCGTCTCGGAGATCCTAATGTCGGGGTCAGATAAACAGTCAAGGAATTCATCAACCGGTGCCACGTCTTGCTCTGATCATCTTGAACGCTTTTCCAACCTGATCAAACTTCCATGTAACATAACACGTGGAGGTAGGCGGCGGCTCTGCATACGCTGTACATATCCTAGCTATCTCGGACTATGAAGATTCACGACCTCATCAATCGACTTGCTAGCCTTCCTTGCTTAGTCACCTCTCGTTTTTCCTCAACATTGGTCACACAGTGATTCCACCAAATGCAAGCAGTGCTAGGAAGATATCTGTGATCGAAACGCTGTCATCATTTAACATCGTCTACTTTTAGAGGCAAAACCTCACAACCGTATACCAGGACTGAACTGACTGTGGTTCACCATACTCGTCCTTTTCATAAACAATTGGACATCTATCTCGCCAGTCAGCGCTACATATGACGCAAGTTGGCAAACTCAATCAGCCCAGCCCGTTCACCAAGTAAGTGGTGAAGAAGAAGAAGTATAAAAAAACATACAGATACAAAGAGGACAGCAGAAAGTATTGGTTATTTTGCAGGTTAACACACACACACACACACACACACACACACACACACACACACACACACACACACACACTTACCTCAAAGCGTAGACAATCCTTTACATTATCCATATCGTATAATTCACGTAAAACTTTGAGTATTGCCATAGTCCATGGATTCGGTGGGCGAAAAACTAAACTCTCAGTTGCACCTCGAACAACTCGAGCAACGAATGGTACAACATATTGTGTAGGAATAGGACCTTTATAGTAGGCTTCATAAATTAAATCTTTAATATTTAAATCATCGTGTAGAACTGGTTTATTACGCGCCAAAGTTATGAGACCAAGAAAACTGCCAAAATTTTTCAAAGTGCTACGCGCTTGCATATCATCCTTATCCAAACGCATATTACGCAAAAGAAACTGTTGACAAGAGGGTATGGGAAAGAGAAAAGAAAACAATATATATATATATATATATATATATATATATATATATATATATATATATATGTTATGGTTATTATTATTATTTATCCTATGGGCTTGGATCCCTAGTGGAACATACAGCTTCAGTAGTATGTCTCCATTGCACTCTCCTCTCTTCAGTCTTTTCAAACTGGCTCCACCACTGCCCAGGAGCTTTCATTTCTTCCGCGGACCATCTCCTCTATGTCACCCTCAGTGTTAGGGATAATCAATCCCTGAGATAACTAACTTATGATATGTTTATATTATCATTGTAAGTTTAAGTCTTATTTTTGTGCCATGTTATATTTCTTAATTTTACAGCAGTTTAGGATACCAAACGCTGATTGGTCCATTTCACACTTTGAATATGCTATTTTGTTTTCTCTGGCCAAAGCCATCTAGGGATATATAAATGATTGAGTTTTCACTTATCATTATTCGGATGGAGTGAATGAACTTTCAATCTCATCGTCTTCTTCTGGTGTCAGCTGAATATCAAGTTGAGAAGTCATCGTTCTATCGTTAATCGCATTCGTTTCGGAGAGTTGCATCGTTATTTATAGCCTGGGATCGTAACACTCAGCTGGGACGCCCAACTTGTCGTTTCCTCTTTAGGTTCCATTCGAGGGTCTGGCCTGGGGCGTGATGTCTCCGAATGGTCTTCTCAGTGTGTGCCTAATCCAATCCATCTCCACTTTCTCGTGCATAATTGTTGGGCGATACGTTGTCGGTTGGATGGTTCGTTGGCAGGCCAGCGTTCCTTGTTGCTTATTCTTATTATTCTGACCATCTCATCTTCAGCGTCAGTATGTGATGGGCGTAGGCGGCAGCTGTTGATAACGTATGTCTGCAGCTGTTTGTTGGAAATGCTTTTCGTAACGCACCGTCTCTCAACCATCACATAGAAGTACTGACTTGACTTAGTGTTGAAAATCTGGATGTTGTTCTAGCTTTATGCAGAGTGGAGTAGAGATCTCCACACTGATTATTTCAAATGAATGAAGCCCTGTGTTGCTGTCTTTCCAATCCTGGCTTTGACATCCTCATTTGTACCGCCGCCGCCACCTTTAGTTGAAATGATGCTGCCCGCCCTGGGTAAATGGTAGGTGAAAAAGACTATTTCCTCTAGATTTCTCCCGCTGATGGTGATTGATGCTTGCTGTTGTTGGTTGGATATATTCATCACCTCTGTCTTCTCCATATTCTTTTGAAGGAAGTCCCATCTTCGCTGCCTCTTCTGTTAACTTGTTGCTTTTCGCGTGCAGATCTTCGAGCTTATGAGACATTGGACATAAATCATCGGCGAAATCTTAAGTTTACCTAAAACCTTGTGGGATGACGTTTTATCGAAAAGATGTCGACAATTCCGTTTGATAAGACCTACAGAAGTTATGTTCTGGCTACAACCGCTTACAACATATGGTATGGACTAAAAATAAGGAAAATTATAATCAATTTTGACAAACAGCAATACATTTGAATTAAAAACCGATGCATATTAAACCAACAACTACTCTATTCGAGTGAAAACCGAAGTCTGATAAGGAAATGATAAGTAAAATATAAGTGAAGCGTTTTTAACTCAACTATACATGCTCATACTAAAATCGAGTTCAATTTCAATCCAGGTATAATCACAATGATTTTTCTTAGCATTTACAGGATATCTACTTTACTGTAAGAAGTGTACGACACCCAAATGTTATGTGTACAGTAAGTAATTTTAAAATATTATCACATGGCAAACAGTTAAGCATCGAGTCTATCTAAATAATCTCTAAACAATGAAATTATGCGCATAGAATTTAGTATGTTAACTAGTTTGGCTGTGAAACATGGCCATTGAAAGTGGAGGATACAAAAAGGCTTCAGGTGTTTGATCACCATTGCCTTCGTAATATACGACGTATTCCGTGGTATCACCACGTGAGTAATGCAGAAGTTAGGTGTAGAGTTTTTAGGAGAAGAGGTAAGTCAGTTGAACCTTCATCGACTGAGATGGTTGGGACACGTACCACGTATGCTTAGTCACCGATTGCCTCGTCACACAATGTTGGCTGGGTAGGTCCAGGCTGGAAAAAGGCCCGAGGTGGCCAGACTAAAACATGGCACCAATGTATGAAGTCTCTGACTGTTGGTTTAAGCCATGTAGGACGATGCAGACTAGGTGGTTGGGGTCTGTTCGCGGGAAAAGAGGAACCAGTGGTTGGAGACTCTAGGGGATATGGCTCAGAACCGAAGTCAGTGGCGCAGATGTATGCCCACACACATTATCCTCATCTTAACAACGCTATACCGAATCTCACTATTTTGTCACTCCTCTTTCTTTTCTTTCATCTCGTACTTTATATTTCTTTTGACTGCATTCACTTACTTATCTTCATCCTTCACCTCACTACCTTTTTACTTGATGTGCTGATATGAGGTGTGGCAACTCGGACTGTTACGCAGTAATGCCTGGTCCTATGTTGATAATGATGATGATGATGATGATGTTAACTAGTTATTTATTCAAATTTGTTGAGATCAACCAAAAAAAGGCATACTATGATTTTAAACTGGTATATAAGACAAGTAATTGAAAATCATACATTTGTTAAGCAATACTAAATCAACTGAATTGAAATCGAAATGCATTTAGCAATTATGTACATGTTTTTGAAGTAGGTAGATAATGAAGCAGTTGATGATTCTACAGTAGTTTCCTAAATATCCAAGTATGTGTTCACACAGCCTATGCCAGAGAAATCCTATCCACTCCCTTCATATAACAGAAGGTGTTTTCCATAGAAATGAAAGCTTGAAAGCGAATCCTCTGAGGTTATCATCAGATTGATGAATACTGAACGGGGGCACCACCACCTAAGGGAGTTGCAAAATCCTGATACCAAAGCTCTAGATAAAAAGAATGGCGTACAAACCTATTTCGGTAACCAGGATCCACAGGGATGCTGCCCTGTGGATTAGACTTTAAGTTAAAGGCTTACAGTGAATTTCTTTGTGGCCTTCCAGTACATGCTGGTGATCTAAATTTAGTAAATGGTTGCTCACACGTCATTGGCAGACGGATCGATGCCTTGATGAACCATGAGGTATATGTTATAAATCGAACATCGTAAGATAAAACAACAACAATAACAATAACAGAAGTGACATACCTTGATGTGTCGAATAAGTTCATACATAACTTTTGGTCTAACATTTGGTACTCGTTCTTGTATATAATCAAGAACAAGTGCAAATAGATCATGAAATGTTTGTTCTACAGGAATTCTTTTACTAACAAGATAAAAAGCAAACCAAGGAATAATTTCATCTTCAGATAATATACTGGCTAATTCATTTGACTTTTCTTTAGCATTCACCTTTGAGACATTATTGAATAGAAAGTAGATACGATCAGAAATACTTTCTTCTGGTGGATCAGGAGCTTTTATACATACATCATTAGTGCCAGTTGAAATACAAATAGATAAATTTAAACTAGAAGATGGTTGTATCATAGACTCAATATGTTGATAATTTCCTCCAATCAATTGATTTACTGAATTATTATTTCCTGTAGTTGTCAAATTCTATCCAGATGAATAGATAATGGATACAATAAGTTAGTTCTCTTATAATCATAATATAATCGATTACATAATAGTAGAAATCACTTCACAAAGTAGTTCAGTTACAAACACACACACACACACACAGATAAACTATAACTCACCTTGGATAAAGAAGCATTCTGTTGTGAGATTGTGTAATTTTTAATAGCTATTTCAGAGTTTAAAATGTACTAGAGGAAAAAAGAAGAGAAAAAAAAATCAGCAATAAATTGCCCTGGAAACATAACGAGTATTTCAATATGCATACATCCTATGAGTGTATCATTCAGTAACAGTGAAACAGACTACAATAATGATAATAGATCATACCCCCACACACATACAGTGAATGAGACAGTATCATTTACTCAATTACACTTGAGACGCTATTGATCGTAATCATTTCAAAATGTAATTACACAACATTGAAGTATATTCTACATTGTTGTAATCTTTTCTCGCCTCTTTTATGATGTAAGTAGTAGGTTTATTCATACACCTGAAACAGGTACTGAGGATTTCCTTTTGCTGCATGTAATACGTGTTCATTCAACAACAACAACAAAACAACAAAGATTCAGTGACCGATCGACCCTTCCACAACCCACTAACTTATTACTAAAGATTTCCACTCCGTAGTTGTGCATAATTGTATGCACAGTTGTGGTTGAGCTTTCCGCCAGATTTCTTGCCTAACAAGGATCTTAAACAAGTTTCATTGCTCGTTGCAACAGATTTGGTAAACAAAGTTATTCTCACATGTTCCATCAATAGCATGTTTTAACCTTAAAAGCTTATTTGTAAGTGAATTTCTAAGGTTAAATCCCACTCTAATCTGAGCCAGTCTTATGTAGAATCCTACCTTATGTCTCTGACATGACTTCCTTCCATTGTAATACCGTAGAGGCTTTTTGATTCCTCTCTTCACAGTATTCCTATTATTATTATTATTATTATTATTATTATTATTACCACCTGTGTCATGTTTTACTTCCAAATTCCCAAACAAACTAACTTCTAAATCAATTTACATGGGTAATAGGTGATAAGTAAGGTGTCTTTATTCAATCCAGTCTCTTGTCTCACACCTTCTGTTCTACTAGTAAGTTTTCTCATCCTGTTACTTATTATTATTATTATTATTACCACCTGTGTCATGTTTTACTTCCAAATTCCCAAACAAACTAACTTCTAAATCAATTTACATGGTAATAGGTGATAAGTAAGGTGTCTTTATTCAATCCAGTCTCTTGTCTCACACCTTCTGTTCTACTAGTAAGTTTTCTCATCCTGTTACTTATTATTATTATTATTATTACCACCTGTGTCATGTTTTACTTCCACATTCCCAAACAAACTAACTTCTAAATCAATTTACATGGGTAATAGGTGATAAGTAAGGTGTCTTTATTCAATCCAGTCTCTTGTCTCACACCTTCTGTTCTACTAGTAAGTTTTCTCATCCTGTTACTTAGACATTCGATCTAACCCCCTTTCCTTACCAAGTGTTAACTAACCCAATGTGAGGTGATTCGAAGACTAATCATATCTTAAAGTTATCTCAGTATGACTATGGATATTAAATTGTTTCCCAAAATATAATCCACTAAATAGCAACACTCAGTGGTTTACGGAAATGACTACCAATCATTGGATCGCGCGTTCCAACCCCGTCTCACCACCTAGCGATGATGTTTCGCCAACCAGGTAGTACCATCACTAGCCCTCACACAAACACACACAATACAGGTGTGGCTCATTGCCAATTGTACGGATGTGTACTAGGTTGTTGACTACACTTCACTACACATCAGGTTTCTTTACAGACCAGGGCAATCAACGTATGAATAAAGACTACATTGAGGAGGACAATATCAAGACTATTCCTTAAATAACACTTCTGATATAGAAAGTCATGCTTGGAATAACTTCACAGGAGATAAGTAAACTGAGTCATGGTTAGGGTTAGGGTGATGTGATGACTTCACTTGCTTAGAGTTACTTTTTTTTCCCCTAGTTAGTCGATATCATTCACAGAAGTTCTGTTAACCTCAGAGAAATGCGGATATAACATATATTGTCAGAGGTTAAACAATCACTGTTGTGAAAAATACTACAATAACTATAGTCACTAATCTCTCTTTAAAGAGGAATTCATCATTCCGTATACTAGAAAAAACAAACAAATAAGCAAACTGCAAAACCAATATCCACAGAAAAAGATTTAGAAGATAAACTTACACCTTGAAGGTCATGTGGAAACAGTTTGAACACTGGACAACTGGCCAAACAATTTGGTAGATTAGAGAAATGCACAAATCTGAAAAAGTGAAATTAAATCTAAACATAAGAAAAAAAACAAACTGGAAGAGCAATTCGGGTATCAGTAAGACTCATGGAGAACAGATATTCTAAGAAATGTATCATAAAGCATGAAAAAGAATAAAACAGAAGAGTAAAAACTATGCTAAGAAAGAGCTTCCCTGTTGCCAGGTTGATCTCAGTTCATAGTATAGTATGCTTCATACAACAGTTGAAAGTAGACAAATACCGCTAACTGTACATATCAATTCTTCACATGCGTTTGTAGAAGCGAGTACATAGGACAAACTGAACAATTTTATGAGTATATCTCCATATGAAAGACAGAAACGACTTTAGCACCACAATCACAAGGCACCTGATTGCATCATCTCGTTATTAATTTACTTACTGACTATTAGTCAGTAGGATAACCTTCATTCATTAACACACAACCACACAAAGTAGGGTGGGACAAAACCACTGTACTTAAGTCTAATGTAGCTAGGTGGAGAGAGAGAGAGAGAGAGATTGATTACTGAATCTTTCTTCATCGAATCAACAACCACCCAACACATGTAATAAGAATGATGCAATGACTATACCAGAGATATGGAAAATCAGATATCGAAAGAAGTGTGATTACATTGATATGATAATGAGCAACAGAGAATTTATGCTCGAAACGTCATCAAGTAAATAGTGATACTATATCACTGTGCGCTATATATCAAATCAACAAATCTAATATGGAATTACATTCTACCACAGTGCCCAATTTTTACACTTATAGTAGGATAACGTTTTTTTTAGCCTTCCACATACTTAAGTAATCTACTAGCGCCTTAATAACCCCTTCTCACCCACCCACCCACCCCTCTTTCCACAACTCAAATCTTCATTTATTTCTACATATTTAAAGGGTGTTAATGTCATTATTACTACTAATATATCATTTCAGTTGTAAACTGTTTGCAACTGATGAAAGACGATGAAAAGGGAACTACTACTAAATGTTCACAAGAAATCAATAGTATAAATGATAAGCGTATTGTAAGAAATATGAAAAATGATAAAATGTGTATCAAATGAAACTAACTCACGTGTTTTTAGCTTTCATAAGGATATGAATCATTGCACGAAACAATGGTGAATCCATATGAGTCTCTGGTGGTAGAATAAACAATCGAGCTAACACAGAACGCCATAACATTGATAGAGCACGTATAGAAAAGCTAAAAGTAATAATAATACAGAGAGAAATCATGAATAAGAAATATTATGAGTGAAAAACTACACATCCTCAGGTGTAACACTTTTCATAAACTCACAGATGAGTACTAGCAGCAAGAACACTACCATAGAGGTCAGCAATTAATGGTAACATCACTTCAGGATAATCTTGTAAATGACGTGATACTTCATCAGCTAGCATACGTAAAATTCCATCTAAAAGTTTGCGTTGAACAGGAGTTCCTTGAGTTGCAAAATCATATAACGTTTTAAACATTTCATCAGGTGGATTGATACCTTCTAACAATTTTTGAAAAAATGTATTAGCCTAGAATAGAAAGAAAAAAAAAAGATATATTATATTGATTATGAATAACCATAGTGACTGAGATTATCAATTCAACAATATCAAGTTGTTATTCATCGAAGACTGACATCAGTTGGAGGAACAATGGAAACCTGGGAGCACTGGACAGCTGTTTCGTCCGACTAGTATGGGACTCCTCACCAGTGCGCACCCACGACCCCACCCCTACTTGGGTCGAACCCGAGACCTTCAGGTTCCGCGACCAGCGCGTTACCATTGAGCCCCTGGGTCAGAATCCAATGCTCCATATTTCCAACTTCTGTTAGCTCACGATATAGCGCAAACCGCCACCCAATGTCATCGTTGAGTATTTGTCCTCACGGCCATCAGGCTTTGACTCCACCGGTCACGACTTGTCATTGGAACTTCGGGAATACTTCTCGAAGCTAGTCACCAACGAGGACTAGTTCAATTGAATTTTGAGGGAGTTGTGGAGATTTGGAAATATTTCAAGTTGTTATTCATCCAAGAGGACGAAACAGCTGTCCAGTGCTCCCAGGTTTTCTTTGTTCCTCCAACTGATGTCAGTCTTCGATGAATAACAACTTGAAATATTTCCAAATCTCCACAACCCCCTCAAAATTTAATTCAACAATATCAGTTCATTTCTAATGACAACTAAATGAATTTTTCTTGAGTTATCATTCTCAGTGCTAGAAATAAACGACCTTTCATGTGATGAACAAGCATTGAAATTCATATGGACGACCTTTTTCAATATACTACCGTCATATCGACATAGAATAACAATATTAATATGTGGGTCTCAAAGTACAATCCATAAGTAATAAGAAAAAGGAAGTTTACCTGACTTATCAGTAGTACATACGCACCTACACATACAAATTGTACATACAGAACTGCTGAATTCAATCAACATTCTCTTGTATTCTACTGTAAACAGTGTGGGTGTAATTTAAAAAAAAGAGAGACCAATAGAGTATAATCAACGTTCAACCAACATCTATTTGTACTTTCGACAAACTCACTTCTCGTACTTAACTTCATATAAGAGTAGACAAAGTAATGGATTAAACGTTTTACACGAAATCCCAGTAGTTGAAATTGATCGAATTCCATGAGAAGTGAAGTATCTAAGACAATTAGGCCACAATTATGATAATTTGGTGGTTGTGGTTAGCAGAAGAATCCAGGGTGCGCGTTTCGTCCTATTTGGGACTGCAGTGATGTTGTTCCCACTTAGACTCGAATCTCTTACCCATCGCTTCAAACGCCAAGGAGTTATCCACTGTGCCACAGAGGAATGATAGGCAATTCTTGTGCAGCGGGTAGTAGTTATTACTATTTGTTGACATACTTGTTATTCTCCGTTGTTTTGCAGGATCAAATTATGGCATAGTGGATAACGGCTTGGTGTTTGAAGCGATGGGTATGAGGTTCGAGCGTCTGAGAACAACATCACTGTAGTGCAAGTACACCCAACTGACGAGTTCCAAATAAGATGAAATGCGCGTTCTGGATTCTTCTACTAACTACAACCAATCAAATTATCATAATTAACATTCAGGCAATATCGAGGCATCCATATAGAGGAGCCCATATGTCAATAGAGGTCGAACAATTCGATGCAACAGAACAAAACAACGGAGAATAATACGTATGTCAATAAATAGTAATAACTACTACACGTTGTACAAGAAGTGGCTATCATTCCTCCATGACAGAGTGGATAAGGCCTTGGTGTTTGAAGCGATGCGTAAGAGGTTCCAGTCTAAGTGGGAACAACATCATCCAACTGACAAGTCCCAAATAGGATGAAATGCGCGTTCTGGATTCAAGCAACTAAATTATTCCTGGGTTATTGACTAAATGACTAATCGATAAGCAATCCATGCTAGTTCGTCAAAAATGACTCTATATTCAGTCCGTTAAACTTATCAGACATAACAAAAACACACCAGAGAATAACACGTATGTGAATAAATAATCATAATAAAACCACAATTGAACGCAAAATAATCCGTGAACAGTATTTCTATTCTATAAATCCTATAATGGATATAAACTGCATATCTTCAAGTAAATTAATGACCAACACATGCTGTACTCGTCAGCATAAACACATACACACATACACACAGAGAGAGATTTCATACAACTTACACTATTCGTTAGAATAAATTAAGGAATAACAACAATATAACCAGTGTACTGGTGTTGTTATTATTTTCTTCCCTTAATGCATGCTCATTCATGAAATGTATCTCAATGCAAACAACAACAACTGGAAAACTTAGTGTCAATGGAACAAGTGCACTTTAAAATTGCACTCAGAATATATAAAAATGAGATGATATGAAGAAAAATTTGTGTCTCTCATAGCATACAACAAGCGCATTATATACACATACAGACAGATGGATAGATGATTTGTGCACTTTCTCTATACAATATAATATATAACTGTGAAACCCTTTATTAGTTGGACCGATAGGCTAACTGACGACAACAACAAATAGAGATTGTTATACCATGAAAAGTGATAAGTGAACACAAAAAACGAGTTATGTTAAACAAGTAACAAAAAAAGAAATAAGTCATATCATTATTTTTACACTGATAAAATTCCAAATAGTAGCCTAGATCTAGGTAGATTCACAACTGTGTATAGTTTACATTGTAATGAAAGAGTCGGTGTGCCTCAGCTGCAATACAAAAAAGTGTCGTTCATAAATGACTTCATGATCGATATCGCCTTTGAAGACATACCAGTGTTCGGATGAACTTGGCGCAGAACTTTGTAGATATACATCGCATAACTCTCCTTCTTCTTCTTGTCTACCTTCAGCAACTTCGCCTAAAAAGCCTTCTTCGCAGCCTTATCAGACACACAATTTTATGCGGCATCACTCTATAGATGAATGCCTTCCTCATCCTTTATCTCACTACCTTTCTACCTGATGTACTGTACTGAGCTGTGACAACTTGAACGGTTACGCAGTAATGCCTGCTCCTATGTTGATAGTGATCATGATAGTTTACATTGTCTGGTTATATACTAAACCAGACAACTTACAGTGAATTGTGTACACACATACCTTATTTTGATCACCTTTTTATAGGAATAAGATGATTAATCAGTCACATTTGTGGGCTATCATATTCCTGCACAACATTATTATTATTATTATTAGTCCCTTGGGTTCCTAGTGGAACATAGGGCTTCACTAGCACGTCTCCAGTGAACTCTGTTCTCTGAGATCTTTTGAACCTGGCTCCACGACTGCCCACAAGCTCTCATTTCTTCCTCGCACGACCTCCTCCATGTCACCCTCGGACGTCCAACTCGTCGCTTCCCATGGGGATTCCACTCGAGGGCCTGACGCGTGATGTCCTCAGTTGGCCCTGCATAACATTACTACTAATAATAATAGAATTAGATGATATAAAAGGTAGACTTTTAACAACATAAATTAAGGCGATATCCGTGTGCTGACAGAGTATTTAAATACTGAATAGTTATATTGTAGATTAGATCAGTGTACATTGATAGATTCAGGCATATGTCAAGATATTCTTAGGGAGAATTTTCACATAAACGGAATATGTGAAATCGATAAACAATGGCATGAATCCAACAAAGAAAAGCGAGTTAGCAGTATAGAATAGATAGATTATTATTATTATTATTATTATTATTATTATTATTATTATTATTATTAAGGATTCAACAAAGATTTATTATCAAAGTGGACAAGGGTGCATATGAAGGCAAACAATATAAAAATGAAGGTGAATGAGAACATTCAGAAGACGTCAAACAGTGAATACATCTCTACCATACTCATCAAGAGTCCCCAATCAGGAAGTCTGCGCCTTGATACAGGGCTGATATCAGCCAGTCAGCGACTTTATGGATTGGTCATGTCTTAATTCGGCCACCTTGAACCCTCTCTTCCCAACCTAATCCAATTTCGTCTAGCTTTGTACATCAAGTTCGGCAACGGTTCGGTGCATACACAACACATGTTCATAACAGTTGAATAGAAATAAAATTTATGAACAGTTTAACCGTAAAAACATCTGCTAACTAGTCAGTCATCAGCTTACTTCTGCTTCAGCTTCTTTGCTCAACTGGATTTTGATAGGTTCATTCACGAATGAAAGTTCCATAGGAGGATGTTCCATTACAGCTGAAATACTAGTTATAAAATTGTTATTCAACGTTTGAATTGTATCTGTTGTCACAGATGGACCAACCATACCAGAAGCTTGTGCTTTACGTCGAGCTGCAAGCTATAAGATAAACAATTTTTTCAACAACAACAATAAATAATTATCAAGACGGTTAGATTCAATGATAAAGTAAAATAAACGTAGGACGTTAATCATGAAGGAATGAGAAGATTGTGTGGGTAGGTGACAGGCAAAGAAGAATATTAGTAAATTACTATGTGTACTACTAAATCAATGGTCACAGAAGTTTACACTCAGTTTAATTGATTTCTGCAAGGATACATCATCATCTCCTATCGTGAATTTGTTCTTCTTCTTCTTCTTCATCTTCTTCTTGACATTCATCATTAACAAAACGAAGAGTTAAGCTTTTTCACTCAAAAGAATCAGATAAGAAAAGAGAGAGAGAGAGAAATCAAGCTAATGCATTGTGCATACATCTGATGAAAGGCTCCAAATTTATCTAGAATACTTTCATGAATTATCATTTTTGTTGCATGGTCTGTGGTTCATTTCCCCCCACCCACCCCATTTTAAAGGTAATTCGCTGATTAGCAGAAACAGTTTCACAAATATTGGGTGCCGACTCAATAGTAGACACTAAATATAAGTTATAGAGTGCTTCTGTATGGTTCAGTGACTTGGCGTGTTACGAAAGGGATTCCCAACACACTACAGACATTCATCAACAACTACCGCCTACGCTCACTCCATACTTACACTGAAGATCAGATGGCCAGAAAGAATCAGCAACAAGGAGCTCTGGGAACGAACCAATGAAGCAACAACCTATCACCCAACAAATATGCAGTGGAAGGAAGTGGAGATGGATTGGGCATACATTGAGGAGGCTGACTGGGGACATCACGCGCGAGGCCAGCCAATCGAGTGGGATCCAGATGAGAAGCGACGAGTTGGGTGTCCGTGGCGAGGGTCAGATGAGGGAGATTGTGCGAGGAGGAAATGAGAGGTTGTGGGCTGTCGTGGAACCAGGTTCAAAAGATTTCAGAGAACAGAGAGCATTGGAGACGTGCTACTGAAGCCCTATGTTCCATTAGGAACCCAAGGGACAAAAATAAAGTTAGATAAGAGTCATTGTGTATGAAAATATTTCGCACGCAAGTCTAGTAAGCGTTTATTCAGGGAAATAATCAAAATCTACATTGTCATAGATGGATATGTCACCTTTAATCTGGTCGGTAATCGAACCTGGTAGCTTAGCTGGTAGACGATCAGACCGGAAACTGGTGGTCGCTGGTTCGAATCCACCCACGGTTCAAGTTTTCATTACACCTTGAATTATCACCCAGTACAGATAATAATAATAATAATCATGAAAAACATTAGTGCAATTGATGGCACATTGTCTATTGTACATGATGGTGATGACGACAAGTTTGTTTGTTTGGCATGGAGCGGTCAGCTGTACTCCATCTCGTCTATTCAGGCTGCTGGGATTAGGCCATTATAGAGAAAGACTGATTGTTGAGGCCATATATATATATATATATATATATATGGATCCAGGGTTACTCGAACTTTTGTATTATACGCTATCGGGAATATAACAACATTCCACTGAATCGTTCTCGTCTCCAGTTGGAAATCGTTTTTTTTTACACTATCGACACTATAACAATAATAGTAATAATCCAATCAGTTCTAATATTTCCATTTAGCGGCTATCTGTGCAAATTTCTTCTAAGCCTTGACACCTTACCTTTTTCGAACATCCATGCTTGCAGTAGTTAACACTTAAACTTTGTCTATCGTTTTAGCCTTACATAAAAATTTGATATTGTTCAAGTTGTAACCTATTTCAACATCATTTTGTACTGTTTTATTGTCAGATAGACAAAATAGTATCTATATGAGATAGACAAATGAATCACATGATCTGCAATTTCAATTTAACTAACCTGTAATGTAAGAGGATTGCTAACCTGTTGCATACTACTAGGATTCAATTTATTGTTGTTGTTCAGGGTATTAGCTAGAAGAAGAAAACAAATAGAAATGTAAAGAGAACTTAGAAAGTATACAACATATAGTTATACACCTGATTGATAGAGAATATTTTGCCAAAAGAAGAAACTCCTTTTCTGAGACAGAAGACAGACAAATCAACCAAAATATAATTTTCAATATTTTCACTAGACTACAACATTCAAAAATCAGTCACTCTGATTATCTCTTTCCCCCCCCCCTCCCACTTACATAGAAATTCCTTATTGCTTTATGATTGACATGTGTAAATCATAGTCTAAGTTGATATGAGTAGTCTGGAACACTAAGAATAATACTAATTAAAGGCATAAAAATTAATCACTAATAATAGTAAATAAATATTAGCTATGCTTTTGAAATGAAGACAAGAGTGAAACAAGGCTGTCTACTATCACCTATGATATTCATGATTGCAGTGAACTGGACTGGATCATGCAACAAACAGTGAGGAGCGAGAAGAGAGGGTATACGCCGGACAGCGGGGAAGAACCTAGGAAATTTAGATTTCGCCAACGATAACTTACGTCTAATGTCACATAAACTTGAAGATCTACAGGCGAAAACTAACAAGTTGACAGAAGAGGTAGCGAAGATGAGACTTCAAGCTCCAATCACCATCAACGGGAGGAACTTAAAGGAGGCAGCCTCGTTCATCCACCCACCTAAGCAGCACGAACCCAACTGCAGGCGGCACAGAGGAAGATGTCAAAGTCAGAATCAGAAAAGCAAGACAGGCGTTCATAGGCCTAAAACTATTGCGGAGATGTTCCGCACTCAGCATGTGGAACAACATCCCGATTTTCAACACTAACGTCAAGTCAGTGTTCCAGTATGGTTCAGAGACTTGGCGCGTTACGAAAAGCATTTCCAACAAACTACAGACATTCATCAACAACTGCCCACGCTGGCTCGTTACTGAAGATCAGATGGCCAGAAAGAATCAACAACAAAGAACTCTGGCTGGCAACGAACCAACCAAGAAGCTATCACTCAACAAATATGCAGTGGAAGGAAGTGGAGATGAATTGGGCATACATTAAGAAGGCCGATTGGGGACATCACGCGCGAGGCCAGTTGCTCCAGTGGAACCCAGATGAGAAACGACGAGTTTGGCTTCCCAGCTTAGGGTCAGATGGTGGAGATGATGTGGGGAAGAAATGAGAGCTTCTGGGCTGTCATGGAGCCAGGTTCAAAAGACTGGAGAGAAGAGAGTGGAATGAAGACGTGCTAGTGAAGCCCTATGTTCCACTACGAACCCAAGGGACAAATAATTAAATAATGATAATAATAATGCCAATATCCTTAATATTCGATTTATACATTTTAAACTGTAGTTCATCGAGCTGCTTTTCCAGAGCCTGAGCCATTTGTTAACGTTTTGATTGGTTTCTGACTTTTTACATGTACCAATTATTCTTTGCCTTTCAAGGTTACTACTGTTGAAATAGTATAAAAAGTGTCGCCGTTTTGATGAATAAACTTTTTTCAGTTCCAAGCACTATAAACTCAATTGATGACCAAGTTTTCTGACTTCTGTGTGATAATCCACACTCAAGATACTCAATCATTATTCGTTCTCAATAACTCCGTATAATGATCATACTTACCGTTAATACTACGCGTTACACCAGCATTTGAATCAACATTTGTAGCAAACTTATGGGATGGAGTTAAAGTGGCAACTGTTGGTAGATTGGTCGCTGGAAGTCGGAGATTCGTGGAAGCAGTAGAACTTGATGCCTAATAATAAATATTCAAAATATTGACGAAAAAATGACTGTCAAGATATCAACTGGAAAAAATACACGAAAACAGAAATTTTTCATTTCTCATAAGCAATAATAATAATATTTCAAATTGTTATTCATCGTAGACTGATATCAGTTGCAGTTTAGCTATATCGTCAGCTAACAGAAGTTGGAAATATGGACCCCATAGCTCAATAGTAACATGCTGGCCACGGAACCTGAAGGTCGTGGGTTCGACCCAAGGAGGGGTGGGGTCGTGGGTGTGCACTGCTAAGGAGTCCCATACTAGTAGGAAGAAACAGCTGTCCAGTACTCCCAGGTTTCCATTGTTCCTCCAACTGATGTCAGTCTACGATGAATAACAACTTGAAATATTTCCAAATTCCCACAACTCCCTCAAAAATAATAATAATAATAATAAGACTGTATATGCATACTGATGATCCTGTCAATTTGCCATTAAAAGAGTGTATACCGAATCTTGATAACAAGATTGTGAATCACATATTCAATGGCAAACATGCAACAATTGTTGAATAAGTGAGATTATATAGCCAAACCTACACACTATAACACATATGATGCTTTCCATGAAGATAAATTAGCATGAAACCCCATCAACCCGGTCTTATACAAAGAGAACTATGCACCGAAAGCAGTTCACATAATCATAACAAGATCGCCGAGAAAAAAAACACAGTGCGGTAATATTGCAAGAGATGGGATCAATATCTCAGACTATAGTATAATTTCTGGCTCCTAGCCAGAATGTGAATATGACCTGGTAGGTGTATTCTTCTTCGATATTATTCCCATGGTGAATGTGATAAGTTCATCGGCAATTAATTTATGCAGAACTACTCATGCTCAAAAGGTAAACCAGTTTACCTAATATGCACCAAAGTGAATCGTTTAATCTTCCGATAAACTAACGAAACATTCATCGTCTCCAAAATGGTCATCCTTCTCCTGTTAATATCCTATTATATGGCTTAATTACTACACACATATGCTTGATAATAAACTCTAGTTTTTACATGCTGTCAGTTTGTAGTGTTGCAACAAAAGCTTTCTGTATAATAATAATAAGGGTAAAAACACTACTTCAATGGTCAAGATATATAAAAGCTTGTAGGAATGAATCCACTGATGAGAGTAAAGTGTATGTGCAAAACGTTCTCGAAAGAGAAAACTGAAAAGTATGAGTTTGCATGCCAACAACGGTATCCACCTATACACAACACAGAGATATATATTATTAACCCTTCTTAATCAATGCTCGTTATGTCATAGAGCGGCATAGACAAGTTCCCTTTCAAGATTCTATCGAGGAATAGGGAGGAAAAAAAATGAAAACAGATAAAGCACAACAATAAATAAATCCCCAAAAGTCACAGTTTATCGAAGACTATCATCATTTAGTAAAACGATTATCTACACATAAAGTGGTGAATTGCTATCAATATTGACTAGATATGAGATGAGAGATAGTTGAAAGAGCTGAAATCAAGATAACACTTTCCTTCATGTATTAGGCTAAAATTGACAGTCTGACAAGTTAACGGACTGAACATAGAGTCTTTCAGGACGAACTAGTATCGGTTGCCTAATGATAAGTCATTAAGTCAACAACCTAGCCATTATTTGGTTCGTTATGGCTACCAGAAGAATCCACAACGCGCATTTCGTCCTATTTGGGACTTGTCAGTTGGATGTACTTGCACCCCAGTGCGGAGTGTTAATTCCCACTTAGACTGGAACCTCGTACCCATCGCTTCAAACGTCAAGGAGTTATCCACTATGCTATGGAGCAATAAAAAGCTAAGGTGAACATATACATACAACTAAGCCATTGGCCTGTAGTAGAATCATGTAAGCCACTTCTAAATGCACAGAGAACATCACTGTGGGATACAAAAAGTGTACTACTATTTTCGTTCAAAAGAAAACATATTACAGAATATAGCCAAACTGTGCTATCGAAATTCACTGAATGTTACTATATGCATCAGCAATATGAAATTTTGTACTGTTGTTATCTTGTCATACGTTACTTGGTAAAACACCTAATGTCGATAACAACAACAACAACTTTGACTGGCAATTTGAGAATGTTTAGGATGCGTTTCTCATCACCCAAATGCAAATTGTTACTCTATCATCCGTCTTCAACGGTGCGACGGTTAACAATAGAGAGCGTAGTGACTGAGTGTGTTGACCACTTCACTTACCTGGAGAGTGGGATCAGCCCTACCCAGGTGGCTAGCTCAGTGGCCAATGAAATCTCTGCACTACCACAAAAGGCTCGATTGGCTTTCGCCAATCTATGGCACCGCCGTGATATCCGATTGTCTACTAAAAGTCGCGTATACTGCACAGCAGGCCGGTCTGTCCTATTGTATGGCTGTGAAACATGGTCATTGAAAGTGGAAGATATGAGAAGGCTTCAAGTACTTGACCACCGTTACCTCCGAAGTATTCTGTGGTGCCACCACACCACGTGAGTAACGCAGAAGTCAGGCTCAGGTGTTCAGTTTCAGGGAGAAGAGGTGAGTCAGTTGACGAGGTTGAAAACTTTCATCGACTGAGATGGTTGGGATACGTACTACGTATGCCTAGCCACCGATTGCCTCGTCATACATTGTTGGCTGAAGTAGGTCCAGGCTGGAGAAAGACTCGAGGTGGTCAGACTAAAACATGGCACCAATGTATGAAGTCTCTGACTGTTGGTTTAAGCCATGTAGGACGATGCAGACTAGGTGGTTGGGGTCTGTTCGCGGGACAAGAGGAACCAGTGGTTGGAGACTCTAGGTGATATGGCTCAGAACCGATGTCAGTGGCGCAGATGTATCGCCACACACATTATTCTCATCTTAACAACGCTATACCGAATCTCACTATTTTGTCACTCATCTTTCCTTTCTTCTCGTACTTTATATTTCTTTTGACTGCATTCTCTTATCTTCATCTTTCACCTCACTACCTTTCTACTTGATGTACTGATATGAGGTGTGGTGATGGGAAGTTGGACCGTTACGCAGTAGTAATGCCTAGTCCTATGTTGATATTGATGATAGTGATGATGTTTAGAGTAAGATCGATGTGTACTGAAGAATGTGTCAGGAAATTTTAAGGGAAAATGGATCTCCGGAGAAGTTTATAAAGTAGACATCACTCATAGTCTATAAAAACAGCGAATTGATAAACGTGCAGAAAAAACCTGCGTTTGTAATTTTTAAGGAGATAACCTGAGTGAAATATACCGTTTTACTCAAGACGTCTATGCCTATCCTATAATAGCCAACCCGAAGCTTAAGGACACAACCTAATTTCAGTCCATCATCATGTATATATATATATATATACAACTCAACGGTTCCTGTAGAACAAATTATGTAGAGTGCACAGTTGGATACGTCTGTCTTAGGATACGAGAACATCTACCGCCATAGTTTCCAAAGGATGAGATCAAATCCATGCACCATTCGTTTACGCATTCTCTCTATAGCAGAAGCCGTAGCAATAAGATCAACGAAGCCTGAATTTTGTATTCAGAAAGAACACATTCAAGCTCTACTCCTCGCTTAGCCTTCCATAGACTCAACAGTATTCCCCCAACCATTCTTTTTCAATCTTTTTTTCCATCCGCTCTCTTCTATTCTTTCTTTTTAAAACAGAAAAAACGGAATTATTATTAATATTAATGCTATGTATAGTAATGATGGATAGTGGCTAGCAGTGGAATCCAGGATGCGCATTTCGTCCTATTTGGGACTCGCTGATCAACTGGATGTACCTGCCTCCCAGTGAGTGATGTTGTTCCCAACAGCATCCGCATAGGAGCCCATATGCCAACAGAGACTGATCAATTCGGTCCAATCAACGACGGTGTAATACAAGCAATAACACTAACATTAATGCTGTTATCTTTAACTAGACTTTCGACTTTCCCTCCCGTCTTATTATAATAAAAGTTTGAAATTCCAGTTAAAATTCATTTTTCCATAAGATTACTATTCTCATTATCTTAGTTATTTCATAAGTTAGCCATCTGTTATGATGACATATCCACTCTATTTCTACCCCTTAAGCAAACTCATATCATCTTTCTTTGTACTAATCACTCAGTCGACATAATGTACAACCTTGAACTTTATGAATAATTTTCCTTCCCCATATACATCAATTAACAAAGTTTACACCCAACCTATCACCACAATTGACATATATATATATATATATATATATATATATATATATATATATATATATATATATATATAACACTTGCCATCCTAAATGGATTCGTTGTAAATTCGACCTATTAACGAAATTGATTTTAGAACTGTAGAATCTGATGAGAAGTTATTATTAACCTTTAAACAATACAAAAGCAAGGAGAAGACAATAAGTAAATACAACTCACTCTCGTTGTTTGTAAATGAGATTGAGTTGAACCGGCAACACTTGTTTTCATAGCCGATACGTTATTACTAACGTTGGTCGACGATACAGATTGATTGGTAGAACGATTAAGGGCTAAAATAAAGGTTTCATTCAAATGGCTAATGAAATGATATTTACCTGAATTAATTACAAGTTGCAGCAAAGAGTTAAGTGATTGGTGTACTTCAGTAAGCACTGAACGAGAAACAAAACACGGACCCGATCTAGACGGAAATACAAGAAACAAGAGTATCGGGATTAAGGACTATTCTCTATAGACAGGAACTCTTGTATAGTTATCAACAGTTAATAATCATGATTAGTCAACTTACAGGAGAAAAAAAAAGGCAAATTTTACTGAAAATCTAGAAACGACTGTTAGTGCAGAAGCAACCGTCATCACTTTCCCGCAAACCTAATGCACATCTGTAGGTGTTTGTTGCCTTGTGAGACTGCAAACATACACCTAGTCTCCATATGGCGAACTCGTTCTTTTCTTTCAAACCTACATTCCACCATGTTGCCGATTATCGACTGAGTAGACATAACTTCGTGAAAATTGCAATTAAATGAAATTCTGAAAAAGCTGCTGGCGCGGTCAAGCATGAACACTGACCTAAACAAACGAGTAAAGGGTATCCTATCGCAAACACTGGATTATGACGAAGAAAACAGTAGTGGTTATCTGGATAATGCGGTACCATGGATTAGCTACCACTAATATTCAGACAACCTACTGCTTTGGGAATAAATAAAAATCCTTCTCGCTAGGTAGTAAACGAGTACAGGATTCAATGTATGTCGATTCAAGGTAGCACAACTTACATAGGAATGCTAAATCAATGACAGTGGTGGCAAAAAGAAGGAAAACAGGGGAAAGATTCGTATCAAGGAATAAAGAACTGCTTTAAAGATTTGAACAACCTCGCCCGATTAACTGGTTCACTAGTTACTAGCCAGTCCTAAGCCCGGATAAAAAGAGAGGGTTGGGCGAGGGGCTAGCAACCCTACCCCGTAAGACCAATCCAATCGCTAAAGAAACTTCAAAGAACAAAGAAATTATAAAACATAAAAACAAACTTATTCCCCGCTGGAAATGACGCTGGTTGGTGAAAGTCTTCGGGAAGCCAGTCGGCCGATGTGTCTTCTCTCACTCGATGAAAGCAAAAGTAAACATGGGGACATAGAGTGTCCGCACCATGTATGAACCTACCAAGGATGTCCAGATTGCCAAAGAGATGAAAAGGTATAGCATCGATGTGCTAGGAATTTGCGAAAGCAGATGGAATGGAAGTGGACTCTCCAAACTCTTAACTGAAGGGTCAATAATCTACTCCGATATTGTCACCCAGACGAAAACCACGAGTACACTGAGTTTTCGAGTGGCTATCGTGATGTCCACAAGACCATCGAAGGCTCTCATGCAATGGGAACCAATCTCCTACTCCAGGATCATAACAGCAAGGTTCAACTCAAAAGGAAGGAAAGTCACAATCATTCAGTGCTACGCACCTACAAATAATGCACATCAAGAGGAGAAGGATGAATTCTACAGACAACTCCAATCAACACTGGACAAGACACCACTCCAGTTGGCGATATCAAAATTCTAATGGGCGACATAAATGCGAAACTGGGAGGGGACAACACAGGAAGAGAACTAACCATGGGTCGAGAAGCACTAGGTGAAATGATGAATGAGAATGGAGAATTGTTTGCAGAATTCCGTGCATTCAACGACTTAGTGATTGGAGGTAGTGTATTCTAGTACAAGGATATCCACAAACCGAGCAACATGGATTTCACCAGACACCAGGGCACACTAAAAATCAGATCGACTTCATCTCAAGTATGAAGAAAGTGGAGACGTAGCTTACTTGACACAAGGTCAAGACTCGGAGCAGATGTAGGTTCAGACCATTATCCAGTACAAGGAACCTAGCTTCTAAATCAAGCTGAAAGCAGTCAAACACCCACCCAAAACAGAAACTGAACGACAAAGGACATCTTCACGTCAGCGAGTCATCACAACAAAATGGGAGACATTGAGCAACATCCCTGAAGGATCGGGTGTGGAAGAACACTGGAACTCTTTGAAAGAGATGTCGACGGAAACCCGCATACGTGTTGGGAGGGAAGAAGAAGAGGCAAGACAAGGAATGGATCTCCACAAACACATCGAAGCTGATACAGGAGGGAGAGGAAGATGGCGAAGCAGAAGATAAACCAGTGCAAGGATGCACAACGAACAGAAGTACTGAGTACAACGTATAAAACACTACACTGGACAAAGGAGTGAAGAAGGGTGCACGGTAAGACAAAAGACAGTTCCACGACACATAGGCAAGTGAAGCAGAACAGGTTGCTGGTAGGAGAGACCTGACATTTTATCGAATAACCAGGTTACTATCTGGATGGTGAGAGACTAACGCAGATGAAACCAATGAAAGATAGTGAAGGAAACCTAGTTACCAAAGAGGAGAAACAAAGGAAACAATGGGCTGACCACTTCAAAAAACTCTTGAATCGACCACCACCCGAAACTTGTCCGGAACTACAACCAGTAACCACAGAACTGCCAATGAACACAAATCCTCCAACAAAAGTCGAAGTCCTGAATGCCAAAAAACTGCTGAAATTCCCAAAGGGCAACCTAAATCTCTGCAAAAACTGGCGAGGAATCATGTTGCTGTCCACCCAAAGCAAGCAAAATATTATGTCGCATCATCCTGGAGAGACTAAAAGATGCATTGGATCCAAAATTACGACTGGAACAGGCTGGCTGACTGGATTCAGGAAGAACAAATCATGTGTGGATCAAATTGCAACGCTACGCTACGCATCATCACTGAAGAGAGTATAGAATAGCAGTCAACTCTACCTCAACTTTATCGACTTTGAAAAAGCCTTCGACAGCATCGACCGAGAAGTAATTTGGTAGTTGCTACAACACTACGGAGTACCACAAATCTTTATCAACCTCATTCAACGGCTATATGAAAAGGCCACATGCCAAGTGATCCACAATGGGAAGCTCAGTGATGCCTTTGAAGTAAAGTGAAGACATGGGTAGGACAAAACTGCCTACTATCACCCATGATCTTCCTGATTGTAGTGAACTGGATCATACAGCAAACTGTGAGGAGCAAGAAGATAGAAATACGCTGGCTAGACCGATGAAAAGACCTCAGGAGATGATTTGGATTTCGCCGATGATGATGATTTATGTCTAATGTCTTGTCGCACAAACTCGAAAATCTACAGGCGAAAATTAACAAGTTGACAGAAGAGGCAGCGAAGACGAGACTTTAAGTGAACGTAGAGAATACAGAGGTGATGAAGATTCCGAACGAACAGTATCAACAACAAGTACCAATCACCATTAATGGGAGAAACCTAAACAAAGTAGTCTCTTTCACCTACCTGACCACGCAGCATCGTTTCAACTACAGACAGCGACGGCACAGACGAGGATATCGAAACCAGTATCGAAAAGATAGCAAGACAGGCTTTCATCAATCTGAAATCAGTGTGGAGATATACTGTACTCAGCACACAGTGTGAACAATATCCGGTTTTTAACACCAATGCCAGTCAAGTCAGTGATGCTATGTGATGGTTCATATACTTGGCGCGTCACGACACTTCCACCGCACTTCCAACAAACTACAGACATTCATCACATCAACAGCTGCCGCCTACGCCCACTCCATACTTACACTGAAGATCAGATGGACAGAATGATAAGAATGAGCAACAAGGAACTCACTCTGACAACGAACCAATGAAGCAACAACCTATCACCCAACAAATATGCAGTGGAAGAAAGTGGAGATGGATTGCATACATTGAGAAGGCCGATTGGGGACATCACGCACCAGGTCAGGCCAGTTCCTCGAGTGGAACCTAAAGGGGAAGCAACGAGTTGGTCGTCCCACCTGTGGGTGACATGGAGGAGATCATGTGTGGAAGAAATGAAAGCTTGCGGGCAGTCATGGAGGGAGGTTGAAAGGACTGCAGAGAAGAGAGTGCAATGGAGGTGTGCTAGTTAAGTCCTATGTTCCACTAGGAACTCATGATCATCATCATTACCAACATAGGACCAGGCATTACTACTGCGTAACGGTCCGAGTTGCCACACCTCATATCAGCACATCAAGTAAAAAGGTAGTGAGGTGAAGGATGAAGATAAGTGAATGTAGTCAAAAGAAATATAAAGTACATGAAGAAAGGAAAGAGGAGTGACAAAATAGTGAGATTCGGTATAGCTCCGTTAAGATGAGGATAATGTGTGTGGCGATACATCTGCCCCCAGCTGATATCAGTTCTCAGCCGTATCACCTAGAGTCTCCAACCACTGGTTACTCTTGTTCTGCGAAGAGACCACAACCACCTAGTCTGCATCGTTGGTTTAAGCCATGTAGGACGATGCAGACTACGTGGTTGTGGTCTCTTCGCAGAACAAGAGTAACCAGTGGTTGGAGACTCTAGGTCCGCGGGTCCGCGGGACAAGAGGAACCAGTGGTTAGAGACCCTAGTAAGTAAAACGAACATTTGATAGAAACTGAAAATGCAGTACCTCAGTTGTTTGGGACATGTATCACATATACTCACCAACTATCTCGACAACCAATCTTGACTTTGAGGTGCCTTCGTCTACACAAATAATATGTGACAGGTAATGTAAATTGATGAAGTGTTTTGTATGACTGAAAATGAAGCACACCTGAGGCATTGAGGTCTCTATGTGAAACATGTCCCAAACAACTGAGGTACTGCATTTTCGATTTCTATCAAATGTTCGTTTTACTTACTACCCTAAGTCTGTTCTCCGCACTGTTCAGATCTACATCCCATCATAATACAGGCGATGCTGTAGCGTTTCAATACTTAAATCAGTTTGACAGACTTAGTTAGTTCTTAAAAGCCAAAAAGTAATAAAAAGGATGATAAACAAGAGGTATACGATGATAAGGTGCTGAATATCTTTATGACGACTACACAGGAATGTATCTGAGTCTGTGTAATCCACTATCAGACGGCAATAACAGGTAGTAAGGGGACAACTGAACTGTTTTTGTGTTACTACTTATTGATATGCTTGTAATTCTCCGTTGTTTTATTGGATCGAATTGTCCGACCTCTGTTGGCATATAGGCTCCTATGCAGGTGCCTTGATATGGCCTGGATGTTAATTATAGTAGTTTGTTTGGTTATGGCTAGC